CGTGCAGTGCCTAAGCAAAGACCTCTACGTTGACGACATGCTGTCATCACTACCATCCACACAGCGTGCCATCCAGGCCAGAGAGCAAACGCAGCAGCTACTTGCCAAGGGCGGTTTTCACATGCGAAAATGGCTGTCGAACAAAGCTGAAGTGATGAACACCATACCAGAGGAAGATAGGTCACCTGATGTCGTCCGAGATGTGGACAGTGACACCAGCCTCCCAACTGTCAAGACTCTCGGCGTCAGTTGGAACGCCGAGAAGGATGCCTTCACCTTCCAGCATCAAATGAAGGACATCACGACATTCACCCGACGCTCTGTGTTGCGCGGCCTGGCCTCCATATTCGATCCGCGTGGCCTGATCTCGCCATACGTCATCACGGCTAAGGTACTCCTGCAGGATGCCTGGTTGCTGGGACAGGGATGGGACGACCTGCTGCCAAAGGAACAAGTCGTCAAGTGGCAGGGTTGGTTCCAAGGCCTCCCAGACCTGAGTAACCTGGAGATCAGCCGCTGTTTCAAGGATCCACAACAGCCATCCGAAGACGCCAGTCTTTCCGTGCACTGCTTCTCCGACGCCTCAGATCGGGCGATAGCAGCCGCTGTGTATGTCAGAGCCAGCTACCCAGACGGTACCACCCGAATAACGCTAGCGATGTCGAAAGCGAAGCCGGCACCAGTGAGGCGACAGACGATCCCGCAGCTTGAACTGAGAGCAGCTGTGCTTGGCGTTCGCGTTAGTCATCTCGTCGCTGAATCCATCGGTATCCCAGTGTCAGCTCACACATTTTGGACGGACTCGATGAACGTCTTGGGCTGGGTCCAAAGCCACAGCCGGCGCTACAAAGTGGACATTGGCAACCGAATCTCTGAGCTCCAGACCTCAACGAGAGCACACCAGTGGCGACATGTTCCCGGAAAGAACAACCCTGCAGACAAAGGTACTCGTGGTTTGTCTGCTGCATTACTGTGCCGTGACGCAGTGTGGTGGTCCGGTCCACAGTTTCTTCGCCAGCAGCCAGATGAGTGGCCTCAGATGAAGGAAGTCAGCACATCCTCGCTGCCTGGTCAGCTCAAGACGGCGCTAGTTGCAGTCGTCCCTCCACCCTCCGAGATCCTGGGTCGCTTTAGCACATGGTCGCGACTGGTACGCGTGACAGCATGGTGCAAGCGATTTGTGGCAAACTGTCGGCAGGCAGTCAGTGACAGCAAGTCCACGAAGGGGGATGCCGCATCGGACAGCCAGTCCAGCACGCCAGTGAGAGTGCCAGTACAGCTTGGCGGCACCCGCTCCATCAGTGTTCCAGTTCTCAGCACTGACGAAGTATCAGTAGCAGAGCGGCACTGGATTGCAACTGCCCAGAAGGATTGCCATGGTACAGCATACCATCGTCTACAGTCTAGGCAACTGATGTTGAAATCGGACCCTCTGGCACCTCTCTGTCCCCAGTTCGATAGTGCAACAGAGTCACCCCTGATGACGGTAGGAGGTCGATTGCAAGCTACAAAGAACATGCCAAGTGGCGTACGCCACCCAGTCATCCTACCAGCAAAGCACCGAGTAACCCAGCTGATAATCGAACAGGAAGATCATCGGTGCTTCCATGCAGTTGGGCCACAGCATCTTCTGGCCAATCTGCGACAACGCTACTGGATTGTTCATGGAACATCAACAGTCAAGGCCGTTCGAAGCAACTGCGTCACTTGCCGTAAGAACCGTGCGGAGCCAGCATCCCAGATGATGGGCCAGATTCCAGACTTCCGAGTTGCAGGCTCGTTGAAACCGTTCAGCCGTACAGGAGTTGATTACGCGGGTCCCTTCCTGACCAAGCAGGGCCGAGGTAAGACGCAGGCTAAGCGGTACCTGTGCCTGTTCACTTGCCTTGAGACTCGTGCCTGTCACCTAGAGGTATCCTATGGCCTCTCCACTGAGTCATTCCTGTTAGCATTTGAGAGATTCACAAAGCGCCGTGGTGTCCCGCTTGAAATGGTCAGCGACAACGGGACCAACTTCACTGCCGCGGAGCGAGAACTCCGTGAGGCCGTCCGGGCCATGGACAAGGAGAAGATCGAGAAGCGACTGGTCAGTGATGGCGTGCGATGGCGCTTCAACCCACCTAGAGCACCACATTTCGGCGGCATATTCGAATCCCTCATCAAGACGGCTAAGCGCGGACTCACAGCAGTACTTGGGAAAGCGGACGTCACAGATGAAGAGTTAGTGACTGCCATGTGCCAGGTTGAGGGCATGATGAACTCGCGCCCGCTGACAGTTGTAAGTGCCGATGCAGCTGATTTGCAGCCTCTAACACCAGCACATTTCCTCGTCGGACGACTCGACCCACCAATGGCTCTGGAAGTGAAAGCAGACGAGCACCCCAGCAGAGACCCACGCAAACGTTGGTTGTATGTTCAGCGGCTTGTAGCAGACGTGTGGAACAGGTGGCGAGATGAGTATGTTCCCTTGTTGAATGTCCGTCGTAAGTGGCAACGTCAAGGTCGCAATGTAGCCGTAGGTGACATCATGCTGTGTCTTACATCAAACACTCCCCGTGGAACATGGCCCATGGGTAGAGTCACAGCAGTGCATCCTGGTGCAGACAAGCTCGTCCGAGTAGTGGATATTAAGATCGGCGACAAGATCTACCGACGGTCTATCCACCATCTAGTACCTATTCTGGACACCGAGTAGTTTGTGCCTTGTGTATCTGAAGTGCTACAGGCAGCCCTGTGACAGTACTCTCTCTCTCTCTCTCTCTCTCTCTCTCAACCCATGAAGTTTTTCTTTCATCATAATTATAGTACCGTAGTAGTACTCACTCGTCACAGTTTGTTTGCTGACCCTGTGCTCGTGAGTGAAGGGGGATATGTTCTGGAATATTCCCAGCTTGTGGTGAATCTTGCATGACCTTTCATTGTACTCAGGTTTCATTTCTTTTATTCTAGTGCATGCTGCTGGCGCCTGATGTATTGACTATTGTTACCGCAGGCCAGTCTCAACCTTTGCATTGTCTGAGATTCAAGTAGCGTATCGTTTGATACATGTGCTGTCTCCATGCTATCTAGTCGTAATATATTCACTCGTCTTTGCATTTGTGCACAGTCCTGTGGATACTCGCAGGCTGCGGTTGCGCTCTCGCTTTGGTCATTCTAGAATGTATACTTCCATGCCTTTGAAGTTTTTTAGTTGTCAGTTTTGAACTGTAGGAAGCAGTTTACAGTTTTGGTTCTTGCAGTTTTATCTCAGAGGAGAAAGTTCTTGGTCTCATACTGTTACGAGTTGCTGTTGTATCTGGTTGAACGCATGCCGGGGCAACAGAGGGCAGCATGAGTAGCCACTTACGGTGCAGACGGCATATGACATCAACATGTTCGCCGCCAGGTAACTTGGTCACTGTCCACATCGAGTTGCCTACATGAACCACGGTGCAGCACCCACACACAGACACGCACGCACGCACGCACACACACACACTCACACACACGCACACACACACACACACACACACACACACACACTCACTCACACTCTCTCACACACACACACACACACACACACACACACACACACACACACACACACACACACACACACACACACACACACTCACTCACTCACACTCTCTCACACCCACACACACACACCAGAATTATATTTACAAGCAGAGTCACTTGAAGACATCTGAACATGGCAACCTCCATGTTCTCTTTCTGCTCATGCAGACTATCTTATTCCTGCTCGGCTCCGTCGTGATCTTCACTATCGGTTCCAGATCATTGAGACTTGCCTCGTGTCGGCAACGCTTTGCTCCTGCTCAACAAGCGGTCTGAGATGATGTTGAAATGCAGGCATGAGAAAAAGTGACTAACTGGTGCTCGGCACATTTTGCTGGTGTAGTTGATGTCACGTCTGACAACAACGATCTCTGCAAATTTATGGTCATCCATGAACAGGGGAGCACCGCATGTGTACTCTGCTGAAGATATCACATCAGGGATGGCATCGTGCTGTGGCTTTGTCAGCTTCAGCTTTGCATTCACGCATCTTGATTTTCCACAGTCGGAACACTTCACGGCGGCTCGAACTTTGTTGGAGTTCATGGTGTCTGAGTGTTGTGTATCCCTTGGATGGATGGCACTGGTACAAAGCGGCAGAGACAATGGCGTTCAACTGGCTCTCTGCGATCATACACGCTTGAAAACGGCTTGTATGATTTGTCATCGCCAGGTTCGGGACACGGAAGCCAATGCCGTGCCCCTCTCTGATGTGGCCGCTGGACGCTCCTTAGCGCCACTCACAGGGGTTGCTATCTGCAGAACACTTCCACAATTGAAACGAATAGTGAGTTGCCCGCGCGTGACGCTGACTGAATTCACAATACTTTGCTGAACTGGCTAGATCCGCCTTCTGCAACAAGTGCATCTTCATTGATGGGTCAATGCCCTCAGCTTGGCAGAAGAGGTTGCTGATGGACTCTTCGCTTGCCGACTCTTCAACTGCTACAGGCACACCCTTCAGCTCCAACTGCTTATACCACTTAGATTATAGCAATGATGACGCCCTTCATACTGTCAGTGTAAGCTGGCTTGAATTCCTTGTGCTTGGAAGCCACAGAGCGTACCTCAGCCATGGCTGTGGAGTTCTTGAATCACAGAATACAGAATCTCACCGTACCCTTACTGCCTCTGCTCTTCACGACTGAAGGCTATGGCTGGAATGCTGCCCGACCAAGCTACCATGTATTGAAGAACTAGCACGTTTCCGGTTTGTGATGTGCACTTGACTACTTTGCCCCATTGTGGATGATACATAATTATACTATCACCATGGCAGCTAGAGGTCCAGTGGTTGTTGGTCCCACTGTGCAATGTGGACAGCAGGCAATAACATAGGCATGGACATCTGTTGCTCATGATGGCGTGCCGTGTGAGCTGGGGTCGACACGTTTGCCTTGTTTTCTTGTACGGGTCTGTTGTTGGTGTTGTTGTTGCTGCAGGCTTGACTTCATTCATCAGTATCATGCTATCGTCTTGCGTATCCTACTGGAGCATGGCCTGTTAGAGGTAAGCAAGGGTCGTGGACAGAACACGTTCGACTTTGACAACTTTGTGTGCTGCTCTTGCTTTGCCAGACAGTCGTTCACATGAGTGGATTTTTTACTCGATGTGTTTGCTTTTTATGCACCTACGATTGTAGCTGCCGTGTGAGTGTGTGTGTGTGTGTGTGTGTGTGTGTGTGTGTGTGTGAGGGGGGGGGGCATGTGTTTGACTGTGTGTGCCAGCTAGTTCCATTGGCGAGTGCACTCATGCCAGATTGTGGTTGGGTTTGTTGCCATAAAGCCCGGATGCTTTTTAAAAGGGGTTTTAGTGGCTTAGGAGCAGGGTATTGTTCTTTCTGCACAGTAGTGTTTCACTCTCATCGAGTCTGATGTCTACCATACTGATCATACTGTAATGTGATGTGTGTGTGTGTGTGTGTGTGTGTGTGTGTGTGTGTGTGTGCGTCTGCGTGCGTGTGTATGTGTGTGTGTGCGTGTGCGCGCACCTGTGTGTGTGTGTGTACGTGTGTGCGCGTGTGTATGTACGTGTGTGTGTGTGCATGTGCGTGTGCACGTACATGTGTGTGTGTGTGCGTGCGTGCGGATTTGTGTTATGTGCGACAGCGCTTATCAGAGGTATCTCTTTCAGCCAGTGCAACCGTACGGACACATGCTCAAGTGCTCCTTGGCGAGATCCTACACATGGTGAGCGATGTACTGTTTACTGTTTAATTGTGGTATTCACATCCCTTTCATTCACATCCCTTTCATTCACATCCCTTTCATTCACATCCCTTTCATTCACATCCCTTTCATTCACATCCCTTTCATTCACATCCCTTTCATTCACATCCCTTTCATTCACATCCCTTTCATTCACATCCCTTTCATTCACATCCCTTTCATTCACATCCCTTTCATTCACATCCCTTTCATTCACATCCCTTTCATTCACATCCCTTTCATTCACATCCCTTTCATTCACATCCCTTTCATTCACATCCCTTTCATTCACATCCCTTTCATTCACATCCCTTTCATTCACATCCCTTTCATTCACATCCCTTTCATTCACATCCCTTTCATTCACATCCCTTTCATTCACATCCCTTTCATTCACATCCCTTTCATTCACATCCCTTTCATTCACATCCCTTTCAATATTGCCATGTGAAGGATAGGACGAGTCCACGTACTAGTACTACTAGTAATGAAGAGTGGTGCTAACGCTGGGCAGACTACTGAGCACAGATCAGAAATTAACATTGGGTGCAGGAGACACTGGAGGGCACTGTTGAAGTTTGGCCACTGCTGTGAGGTTTCTAGGACCTCTCCTTCATTAGAGTACATGTACACAAAGCTAGAGGCTGGTAGAGCTAACCGTCTCGGAGAACATCATGCAAGAGAGAATATTGCGAAGACTCCTGTCCGCTGCCGCAAACCACACATTCTAGGCTCGGTGATTTGACGGTGAGAGCTGCTGCCGTTGAAATGTCTGACTTGACAGGCTTGCTCATCAGACATGTGGCTGCTACGCTGTGTGAGACACTCTGAAGGGTCTCCTCCGCTTCGGTGTGGAAATCTGCGTCCCGAACCAAGCACTGCAGCAGGGAATCGACCGAATCGACAGCATTATTATCGCTACGCCACCGGTGGTAAGCTGTTAACAAATCTTGGCTCAGCTTCTGCTGCGGCTGCGTGCGGAATGTACCTTATGCTAGCTCCTTCCGCGGATTGCTGGCATGTCCTGGAGCGCGGACATGTGGACAGCTGTTTTACGCTTCTCACCGCCATACCTCTGATCCCGTCCCTGGAGTGCTGCTGCGTCAGCCGCTGCCAAGTACCCGTAAGTTTCGATCGTCTTCAGTGGTGGAGCGGACAGATATTGTCTTAGCTGCAATCGCTTGAGTTCCGGTACAGTGGCTGCTGGTCGACGCATATGTTGAAGGACGTACGCCATGTGTCATACAACTTCTTGCCGCCGTCAAACGTGGGTATTTTTTATCTTTCCTAAATGGCGATAAACATCCGATGGTACATTGCCTTGCGGTGCAGTGGTGTCTATCCTGGTACTGTTGCATTAGTCGATCCATGTCCATTTGAGGGTCCACCATACAGGCCATAATTGGGTGCTAATGCTGACTGTTGGTACAGTGCGCTTGCATTGTATGGAGACGGTCCACCAAAAGCGGCGTTGACTGGTGTCGCTGCCGCAGGTTGAGCTGGTGACCGCTGTGTCGACCCAACTAAATAAGGAGCTGCAGTAGACGGTGGAGGCCACTGGCACTGGGTAACTGCCATATCTGGCCGCGTCCATTGCGGTGTTTGGGCCGCTTGCGGCACTCCGAGTGGCAGGCTGCTATGGTAAGGTATCGTACTCGTAGAGGCCTCAAACGGGGACAGGTAGGAATGCACTCCAAAAGAGGCTGCTACTGATGCTGCTGGGCCATCATAAGCTGCCGCACTGAGTTCATGCTATTCTCGAGCATCAGTAGCCCATACTTTATCTCATCCACACTCCCAGTTTCTTCCACGATGAAGACCAGCAGCCCGCGGCGGACGTTGGTGTACTCCGTCTTCGCCTTCGCCTTGGCGATTTTCAGCTGAGGACCAATACTGCTCTCTGCCATCTCTAGCTTCGCTGGGATCCGGCGATCCGGCTCGAAGGACCAATTTACAAAGTTGGAATGTAAGAAGGATTTGGCTCAACGCAAGCGCATCTTGGGTTATCTTACTTCACAGAACAAAACTGTAACTCATCTTAGACAATGTAATGCGAAAACCAAAGCACCGGAAAACGGCAAGTGGAGACAAGCACCAGGAAAAAACGGACCAGAAACCGAATGTCGTACATGCGAGCCATGGAAACGTCGCAGGCGTGCCATGGCGCAAAATAAGGAAAATACTTAGAAGACACGATAGAAAGAAGAAAGAAGACTGTATAATCAAGTGCTTGGTGAGAACCAATAGTTTGTGACAATTATTATTCATGAAATATCTAACAACCTTCAATATTCCACAACGAATAATACGGAGTGCATCCTACAACTGTACATGAAGGAAATGCAGACATGGGACAATCTCATGCCAAGTCCCGAAAATGGACTTGAGGTGACGGAAAAGGCTACAGTCTACGCCATAGTGATCAGCGAAAAGCTGCAAAGGCTCCACAAAAATGCACGGGTGCTGTAAAGAGATCACAGGCGATACGAGGGTACATCGGTGCTCATGGGTGCTGCAACTAGCGCACGGATGCCAAAGCCTACCAGTAACCTACCGTACATCATTAGTGATATCAAGAGTAGATAAACAAGAGTGTGCAACTCCGGATCTCTCCCGCACAATCTGCAGATACCCCGCCCACGGCGGAATTTTTTGTTGACGTCACCTTTTTTCAGAGAAACGCGCGGTTTGCCGCAGAGCAGTGTGAGAGCACGTGCTGGACACCGACCTTGTAGTGTAAAGCCCGGCCAAGAGCACGAGGGAAAACTTTCCGAAAGACTCGCAGTGCGTGCGTCGTCGAAAAGATTACGTCAACAAAAAATTCCGCCGTGGGCCAACCCATCCGCGAGTTGCACACTCTTGTTTATCTACTCTTGGTGATATGATGCAAAGCAAATAATGAAAGGCCAAAAGACAAAGCCTCCATGATTGTAACTACTTTGTCAATTGTCAATTTGCCAATTCACTTGTGAGCACCAGGCATTCACACAATGTTTATGCTTTGAGAGATTGTTTTCTAAATCTCACTACCGTATTTCCCCCATTATAAATCACACCCCACTTTCAGCTTTGAGCCGTATTGTTTCAATATATTCATATATTTTAAAGTAGGAAGTCATACTCGATTGCAAGTCGCAACCCTTCTTTGCCGGAGAAAGTTTAGTGTAAAAAGGTGTGACTTATATTCAGGGAAACACGGCAGTACAGTAAAACCTGTCAAGGCGACCACTCGGAAAAGGCGACCACCTGTCCCCGAAGACCACTGCAACCAGGACCAAGGGGTGATATTTCCAGCCAAATGACGCTGGATAAGGAGATCACCTGGTAACAGAGACCATGTTTTGAAGGTCCCTTGAGCGGTCGTCTTAGACAGGTTTCACTGCATCCTCCCCCCCCCCCCCCCTCCCCTCTTCAACTGCAAGTCAAAAAGCCCAAGAGGCTGCATCATGTTTTTTCTTCTTCTCTCAAAGGCACTGTTCTGTTCTGATGAGTTTCATCCATTCTTATCCTCATTCCACAGTTATGTGTTGTTGTTGTTATCTTCGTCGTCGTCGTCGTCGTTATCGTGTTTCCCTGTTCAGTGCTCAACGATCTTATCACCCGAGTATGCTGATGACTGCATGTGTTTACCCACTCTGGTCAGCCTGGCTACAAACCCGAATGAGGAGCCTGAACGTCGACAGTAAGCACTTTGACCAAGGCGGTCAGCAGCTGTCCTCCTTCTTGCTGCTGTTGTTGTTTGATTGCTAATGGCTGTGTTGTTTGTCTCTCTTTAGCCGTGCCCTAAATGTCATGACTCAGTTGGATCACCACCGGCAGTTCAGGAAGAAGCCCATCGTTCCCAAGAACCCCTACATCACCAAGCTGCTGCAACAGGTTAGTAAAGAGGAGGGAGACGAGTCGGCACACGTACACACTACCCACATCGACACACAGACGGGCAGGCAGATAGATGTACAGAGAATTGTTGTAGGGCAGAATTAGGGGGACGAATAAAAAAAAATTATTTTGTGAAAGACCGGAGGATGCACCGTTGTTGCCTGATGATCGCGTAACAGCATGAAACTCAGAGTAGCGACCAACTAGCCTTGATTGCCCTTCTTGTTCTGTGTATACTGTGAAAGACAATAACAGCGTAATGGTATGGCATTTTATATTACTCCATCGAATGAACACGCACTGATGCCTTCTCTAATAACCACTCAAGGGCCGAAACATTTGAACTTTTAATTGCGTATGAGTATATGTACTGTGAAATAGGTAATTCTAGCGGTCTGAAGCTGTGCCCATTGTCCAGCCCCAATCATTTCCTTTCTTGGTATTAAAAATCAATGTTTCTTGTTTCATTTCCTCTCTTGGTATTAAAAATCAATGTTTCTTGTTTCTTTGCTGTGTGCAGCAACAGTGCGGCGAATGGCTCTACTATCCCGAGGTACACTTTTGTTATTCATTTTTGTACTTGCACTGATTACTTACTACATGTACCGTAAAATCCCGCCAGAGCGCCCCTACCTCCTCGACGCTTCGAGTAGGTTCAGGTGGGGAGGGGCGGATGGGCAAGTCCTACTTGCCGCATTCAGTACTACATGAAAAAGTACTCGCCCTACGAAAACTGTTCGTGCATCTCGTACACCGACCAAAGGTCAAGAGCCAGGAGTCGTACAGACCAGTCAAAACTCAGGGTTTGTGCGATCCCTGGTCAAGAGGGTGGGCACTGTTGCGTACATTTCCAACGGGGTCGAGCACGCGTCTGCAGTGCAGTACGGCATCACAGACTGTGACAGAGTCATACGAGGATACAATCAATCACGTCCCTGACAAGAAGTCAGGGAGGGGCGGATGGGAGAGACGGGGTGCTCTGGCGGGATTTTACGGTATTACATATTATACAATTGCAGTAGCGCCGACTTTGTTTCCATGTGCATGCCGTACTCACTCAATTAGGAGCCCCTCTCGAAAGACCCTCTTGAATAATTGCACCCTGAAACGGCCGTTGAAATCATTCAAGTTGGTGGGCTAACCCCGGGTTGAGTTGGTTTGTACATGAACAATTTAGAAATTTGATTGTGATTAATTTTGAAGTTCTCCCAATCCTACCCATATTGATTGTGCCTCATGACTGCATGTGTGTTTGGTTGCGGACGGGTTCATGCTTGCATGTGTGGGTGTGTGGGTGTGTACGTGTGTGGCTGGGCGTGTATGTGTGTGGGTGCATGTATGCGCGTGCGTGTATTTTCGCCATGCCTCCAGGACATGGACGACAACGCGATAATAGTACTCCTTCGCGACATTGTGGTAAGATGAACCACATGCATGGTCTTCGCACATTTAACCTGCTGTAGATAGGGGCATGTACTGTAAGCCATGGAATTACAACAAAGAAATAAACCCAACATGTAGCTTTTGAAATTGCAAGCGAACTTATGCTCAGGGACCAGGGCCCTCGCTATGCTGACAGTTGACCTATGCCTCTTTGCCACTCTCACCTGATATCTTGATCACCTGGTTATATGGGAACATAGCCAGCCCAGCCATACGCCATGAAGGGTATCGGTCCTATCGGACCCTGACTACACCAGGGCCGTGTTATGTCCCTCCGTGGCATCACACGCCTTTGGCATGGCTCTGGGAATTCACTTTGTTACAGCTGTGGTGTGCGGATATGCCGGTGATCTAGATCGGTGTCATGTTGAAGAAGTTGTCAGTGGCGTGTCCAGGATTTGGCTTAGGGGGGGGGGGGGGGGGTTGCGGCCGGGATCAAGGCGGGATGGGGTGGGGGTAGATGACATCATGCTACTGTCCCAGGTCAGCCATTTTGAAAATCAATGTCAAGAAGCTCCTCCTGTAGCCCCTTCTTCAACAGTTATTCACCCGAACGGCCCCAGAGATTGTTCCGGAGGATCAGCGCACCACACGGGGACAAGTGTCGAACTTGCTTCAAGTCCCCACGGTGGGCCTGCGGTACGATCGAGCGTGATGTTTTGGGGAAGCATTCTCTGGAACGCTCTCCCCTCTGATTTTAGAGTGATACGTGTCCCTGGTCCCTTCCGAAAAGCTCTTTCTGCCATTGATATACTTACTTTGTCCTCGTTAAACTTTTATTATCTGCCATAAATTCCAACCTTCTCATCTATCAATCATTTGTGCATGCATGTCTATAAAATCAACCACGTGTTCCTGACTCGATGAGATTGTCTTTCTATTCTTTGACTCCATGAAATTATTGTCTTTCTATTTCTGACTCCATGAAATTGTTCTTGATATAAATTTTTCCCTTTCTTCTTTTGGTCCTTTCTGTCTTATAAGTTATTATTATTATTATCATTAATTTTCTTGTTTTCCCTTGCATATCATCCCTTCATCATTCTGTGAGAACCTGTCCTATGCCGGGGCAGGTGAGAAGGCATCTCTGTCTGTTCATTTGGTGAAGTAAAAATAAACAACAACAACAAGCCGTAAATCTCACACACCACGACTCACGAGCAGTATTTCTGTACACGCAGCAACAAATGTACATTGTAAACTTCAAATTTGCCGTTATGTGAGCGAATCAACTGCTTTTTTCTTTTGTTTTAATATGCGAGTCCAACAATTTCTCACCGCTCTCAAAGCATCCTTTACATAGGCAGCGGTACTTGTCACTGTGCGCTGTTCTTTATGTTCTGGCTGCTCGCTGACAACAGGTTCTTCCACGTCTGGCGGAGTTTGACTGTCAGTCCGCTCCGAAAGTTCAACTGGATTGTCTGGAATAACAGCGACTTCATCACTCCCACTGTTTCCTGTTGGAGCGGCAGCAGGAGTTGCGCCGCCACAGGAACGCTTTACAAAAATTCCAGGCTCTGCTGGCTAGAGCTTGGCCTTTTGGGATGTCCCTGAGACATCGAAGAAAAGCCTTCGAGTCAACCAAAACACGATTCGAACGAGGATGATCGCCTGAGCCCTCGGCATTCGAATCGTGTTTTGGTTGACTCGATCGAAGACTTTTCTTCGATGTTTGTACCGTTGAAGACGCGTCGAGCGCGTCCCAGCAGGGATCACACTGTACAACAGTACACAGTCAGGTCACCGTGTTTCTGTACTGTAGCCGTGCATGCTCACTGTACGTAGACTCTACTCTGTCTCTAGCTCTGTAGTCTGTGTAGACTGTACAGTGTACTCGTACTGTACTAGCACCGTGCAACCGCTTTTGGACAATCGTTTCAGGCCGCGCGGCACGCGCGCCCCGAGCCTAGTCTAGCTCGACCCGGCGCGCGCCCTGTATTATTTTTCGAAACCTAGGTCGAAATTTTTGAGGGGGGGGGGGCGCCCCCCCCCCCCCCCCCTAAACCCGCCACTGGTTGTCCTCTCCCGGCGTGGAGCTTGCTATCTCTGGAAGATCTCGGATACATCTTGCACATAATTATTATGCATTGCCATTGAAGAAGATGGTGTCAGCGGTCAGTGTCTCCCCATGTAAAGAGTGTGAGATTCCCCGCAAGAAAATATTAAAATAGTTCTTGAATGTGATTGCATTGTTCGCTCAGGGTACTGGACAGGAGTACACCGACTGGAACTGGCCTTCCCTAGCTGTAGCAATACGCGTAAGTCCCCGTGAATATATACCTTTTGCCTGGTGGTGTCTCTCAGTCTGGTTGTGTGCACCACGCAATACCGTCACAATGGATTGACGAATGTACACCTGGATCATTTTTATCGATTTTCTCCTGTGTGTGCTTCATCTCGTCCATGTACATGTACCGTAAAATCCCGCCAGAGCGCCCCGTCTCTCCCATGCACCCCTCCCTGAATTCTTGTCAGGGAAGTGAGAATCCTCGTATGGCTATGTGAACCGCGATACCGTGCCGCACTGCAGACACGGGCTCGACCCCGTTGGAAATGTACTCAACAGTTCACACCCTCTTGACCAGGGATCACACAAATCCTGGGTTTTGATGGGTCTGTACAACTCCCCGCTCTTGTCCTTTGGTTGGTGTACGAGACGCACGCACAGTTTTCGTAGGGCGAGTACTTTTTTTATGTAGTACCGAATGCGGCAAGTAGGACTCGCCCATCCGCCCCTCCCCACCTGGACCTACTCAAGGGTCGCGGAGGTAGGGACGCTCTGGCGGGATTTTACTGTATGTGCTGTGTTGTGTTTTATGAATCTTCTAGCTGGACCTTTGCTGGGATGCCATTGAGTGGACTATCGAGCTCTTGTTGATCTGCCTGGCTCTCTGCCTGTTTGTCTGTCTGTCTGTCTGTTTGTCTGTATATCTGGTTGTCTGTCTGCATGTCTGTTTGTCTCTCTGTTTGTCTCTCTGTTTGTCTCTATGTCCGTCCGTTTGTCTCTATGTTTGTCTGTGTGTACCCGGTCGTCCGTCCATCTCTTTGTGTCTGCCATGCACATGACGTGTAATGTGATTTGACATGACACCTGTCTACTTCACCAATATGCTCCGCTCTTCTTGCAGATCCCGTGCCTTACCGTAAAGAAGATTGAGGAGCTGGCTCCAAAGTGAGTGTTACATCGTGTCCCAAGCATTGTCTAACAACATCTTTCCTTTTACTTGACAGTTGAGCAATTTGAAAAGGGCTTGGCAAAAATTGACCCTCGCCACCAGGACCGTTCTTTGAATAAACTCGTTTCGCAATCTTGCAAAGCAGCATTTCAACATTCCAATTCAATATTCAGTATACCTGTTTAGTCTGGGTCGTCTCATGTCGGCTGTACTGCTCCCTTTCCTCTGTTACTTACCATGGTACATGTATTGGTGCACCACCACACTTCTTATACTTTCTTTCTACGCCATGGCTGGCAAACGCCCCCTCCTCATCTATATTGGCACTGATTCATCTTTAGCCACTGGAAGGTGTAATAATAATACTGAAGTATTAACTGAAGTAATAAAATACTTGTTGCCTAGAGACCGTTTTGGGTGGTGTATGATTTTGTGAGTACAGTAGAACCTGTCAAGGCGACCACTCTGATAAGGCGACTACCCACTAAAAATATGACCAGGGGATACTATTTCCAGTCAAATTACCCTGGATAAGGAGACCGCCTGTATACAAGGTTCCTTGAGCGGTCGCCTTTGCCAGGTTGCACTGTACATATTTTTGGGCTACACCGTATTCAGCATCACTGTTTCTGCTGTTTGTTCGTTTTCAGAATGTTGCGGCGTGTGATGCACTTCTACCTGCCCAGTTCTACACAATACAGTAGCCTTAGTCAGAAAGCACCCAGTGCATCCGTGTACTCGCAGGTCGGCGCACAGCTGGTTGTGCGTCTGGCTGCTGCCTCTGGCTCTGACGACGTGAGTACAATCATGTACTTAATGCCCTGGACTGCAGTGTGTGGGCTATACAAGCGTTGCGTTCTGCACAGATATCTGGGATGGTTTTTTACTAAATTTGTAGGCACCCGAGGTGGCAGAAGTCATAATATCTGTTCACGGGGAGACAGATGATTCCAGGGACGTACCACCCTGGAGCCTAATGAATTACAACTCGGAGCAGAGGGCAACTTTCTCTAACAGTTGTTGTATATTTAGAACAAAAGTGGAAGAAATGTTTCATGCGCATGCGTATAACTTAGTGAGAGAGCTGACGTCATGCAGCGAGGTCGCTACAGTTTTACTTTTTGGCATACAAGGTAGTAAATATCTTGATGGTTTTTACTTGTTAGCATAGTGCAGTGGAACTTGTTCCTAACGTTAGGAGCACCTGAACTCCATTTCCCCCTAGAAGTACGAAATTGCACACGTGATTCCTCGTACAAATAGGCGTCTCTAAGAACGGGCAACGCAAACCAATTGCTTCTGGTTTGCCGAGCAGAAGGCATTCACAGCCCTTATCCAGTCCCCCCCCCCCCCCCCCCCCCCGACTCGTAGCCTTGTACTCATCTCCGTACTTTGCACTGATTTTCTTGGTGCTGAAATGCCATGCTCAAGCTTGAATTAGTTTTTTGTTGTGTTGCTGTGTCCAGGGACCCAAGGTTCTTCTTGACTGGCTTCAAGAAGTTATATTGGCTCTTCAAGAGGTGAGACTCCTTACCCAGTGCCTGCCCTTTCCTATGCTGAATAAACTCTTGAGCGGGCACCAAGGTGTCTCAGTGGAAAAGTCCAGTATTGACAATTTGTTCTGGGCCATCTGCTGCCATTATGTCATTGCTGGTCTCTAGATGCCCGCTGTCATGCCAGTCTCAGTGTCACCATCACTGGGCATTCACTGGTCATCATCCCACCGTTCACAGCCATGGGTTATCGCCGGTGTGTCAAGCCAGGTTCACTGCCAACTACCTACTTCGCGCCTCTCCTTTTCTTTGTACTTTTCTTTTGTTTTTGTTTTTTTTGTGCCGCAAATTTCTTCTCCAAATTCCTTCTCCATTTTTTAATCTGATTTCGGATGTGGACTTGGTGTTATAGCGTGTCCATTCACAGTTTGAGTTGTGTCCCTGCTAGCCATTACTCTTTGTCATCCATCATCAGCTGGCTTGTTCACAGATTTCAAATCCTCCTGCGTACTAGCACCAGTGCCACCCAATCACCGCCCAATGGCCGCTCTTCAGCGTTCGCACTGCTGCTGCTGCAGTCCTGGACAGTAACGCAATCAGGTATTTGAATTGTCAGTCGGCAAGACGTGCCATCCACGGCAGGCACTCTCATCATCACTGTCCCGACAGCCCAGTACACAGCCATGCCCTAAGGTCACGTCATCCAGGTATCAGTATCTCTGTTGTCTTTTTTGCCAAGGCAGTAGGCAGTAGAGCTTCTTGACAGTTCTCCTGTACAGTTAGTAGTGCTTCAGAGAGTCCGGGGAGGTGCACGTCCTTGATACCTGCAAGTTAACTTTGGCTGCGTTCACTCCTATGAGGCTTTTTAGCAACAAGTTGCTTATGCACATACAATGCATTCCCATGTATGCATTCCCATGTATGCATTCCCATGTGGCTTGAAGCAGCATTGTGCTCATATGCATGAACGCATGTTTTGCTGCTTTTGCATATTCCATATTGGCTACTTCGTCAGGAGAAGTTCTCGTTGTTGTGTGCCATTTGTGCTTTCTGTTTGTTTCTTCCCTCTGTAGCTCTGCACGCATTCGTATTCCAGTGCAATCCTCTTCTCCGAAGACAGGCTGGCGAACAAATTGGCGAGAGATTATTTTCTGTTCCTGGGACATTTGTCTGCGACTCGCTCGGGAATTGCACTGCTGGAGAAGCACAATGTATTCAAAATGTGAGTTGAAGGGTATGGTGTAGGAGCATGGTGAAGGGTATGGTGTAGGAGCATGGTGAAGGGTATGGTGTAGGAGTATGGTGAAGGGTATGGTGTAGGAGCATGGTGAAGGATATGGCGTAGGAGCATGTTGAAGGGTATGGCGTAGGAGCATGTTGAAGGGTATGGCGTAGGAGCATGTTGAAGGGTATGGTGTAGGAGCATGTTGATGTTGTTCACATGATAGGCGGGCAGCTTTCTGAAGAATATACTTCCTCCGTTAACAAAAACTTCGTGATGGAATTTTGAGGGGCTGATTTGGGCACAAACTGCCGTGAAATAAGCCGCAATCACTTTCTTGGCCTTCCCTGGCATGCCATGACAGAGGTACAATGCAAGGAAAGCGACCTTTCACAACAAGCCGAGCGGAATCGATGGTTGCGCTGTGGAAACATAGGTGATGACAGTCATGGCGAGCGAAACTGAAATACCGCTATTCCGAGGGGATATTGCGCTGCTTGGCCTCTCTACCACTTTAGCGCTGAGTAAGTTGGAGAGTGATAGAGAGCGATAAAACGGAGCAGCGAGCCCACACAATGAGCGAGTGAACAAGGAGCTGCTCCGATCGCACGGCTCAATGAAAACAATTCTGAACTCAAGTTCTTGTTCAACCTGCGCAAAGTCCAGATTCGAATGCTGATGACCATGCATTCTTTCAGAAGTCTGCAGTCCGATGCGAGTCTCGTGGCTAAAGAAAGTCGACTGGACTTGCTAGCCGCTGCCGTTCAGGGGTGGTATCCATTAGAGAAAATGGAATCAGTTTGGCTGTGCCTTTACTCCTCGTTTCGCGGAGTTCTGGAGAGCGAAGATGAAACCAGGGGGTCGTAAAATATTATTCACGACTCCCGGGTGGAAACGAGTAATCGCCATCGCGGCGGATCACGTAGCTTGAAAGCCAACTTACCTGAACGACGGCGACATCAAGGTCAGCGGAGTGTGATCAAAGAAGCTGAGGCAAGGCTGAAAGGAGCTGAACAACGACTCTAGAGAGATGACGACTCGCGTACAGCAGATGACGACTCGCGTGCAGCAGATGACGACAGCGACGCAGGTCAAAAATGAATCGAGCGAAAGCGACGCAGGTCAAAAATGAATCGAGCGAAAGCGACGCAAACTGAACTCTCTGCTCATTCCGCTAACAGTTTCTCTTGTAAAGACGCTGTACATAGGCTGAATCACCTTCGTCCAGTGATTTGCAGTCGATACAAACTGTTCTTGACCTGTTCTAAGCGTTTTCATATCCATCAAAATCCATCACGAAGTTTTTGTTAACGGAGGAAGTAAGTTACATTATTATGCTACCTGATTGACCAATGGGCAATTCCACGGCCTATTGCGTTATCTTTCCAAGATTCTTTTTTAACCTCTCCCATTTCCGGGAGACCCGCATGACCGGTTTTTGGCAGTGAACAAGTGCATGTGCGTGCGTGTACGTTTGCATGTGTGTGCGTGTGTCTGTGTCTGTGTGTGCATGCATGTCCGTGTGTGTGTGTGTGCGTGTGTGTGTGTGTGTGTGTGTGTGTCTGTGTGTGTGTCTGTGTATGGGTGTGTGCATCCCTGTTGTTTGCTTTCCGTGCACAGCTTGCTGGATGTGTGTGACATTGCTGCACGGCCCGATGCCCAGCGACTGCTTATCGCCTCTCTGGACTACAAGCAAGACAGCTACTCCCGCATCATTCTCTCCAAACTGCTGACTGGCTCTCCCAAGGTACATGTACTGCTATTCTCAACTAAGGCATATTGGCTGAGCCAGCTTTGCTATTGATACACCATACATACTTTGAATTTGATCTGGTCTTTTTTCCATGGTGCCCTTCAAGAATAGGTTTTTGTGGTATGTCATATGATGGTGATCCGATATTCTCTTGTTTCGTTGCGTGTTTGCAGGAGGTACGTCTGTACGCTACGGAGCACATGCGTGTATTCTTCCGCGCCCGGCAGCCCTTCTTTCGCACTTGGGGAATGGAGGCGCTGACACTACAGCTTTACGACGTTGAGCCGAACATAGCGGAAGCGGCCCTCTCTGTGCTCGACGAGGCCTGTCAGGACGAGGTACAACACGGTGTGATGGCCGGTGTAGCTTGTTTGTGTTTGTGTGAGTGTGTGTGTGTGAGTGTGTGTGTGTGTTTGTGTGTGTTTGAGTGTGTGTGCGTGTGTGTGTGTGTGTATGTGTGTGTCTGTGTGTGTGCGCACATGTGTGTGCGTGTGTGTGTGTGTGTGAGCGTGCGTGCGCATGAGCGCATGCGTGCGTGTGTGTGTTTGTATGTGCATATGTGTGTGCATATGTGTGCACATGTGTGCACATGTGTGTGCATATGTGTGCACATGTGTGTGCATATGTGCACCAGTTTTGGCCTCTGATTGCTGTTGATTCAGGCATGAGTGAGAATGATTTTTGTGCTGTGTTTGCTTTCGCCATTTTCCTGCAGGCATGCTTGAAGATGCTGGTGAGCCTTCAACCAGCCCTTCTTCATCTTGGCCAGAAAGGACGCTCTCTGTTTCTCAGGTACTACTCATGAAGATGAAATGCACTTACAGTCTATTCAAAAGAATACTGTATAAGCAGAAAATTTCGTCGGTCAATAATTTCGTCCAACTCCAAAGAAAGGGAGTTCGTCCGGTTGTAAATTTCGTCCATGGATCATAAGAGTGTATGGAAAAGCTGGACAAATCAATATTAGTCCGGCATTTAATTTAGTCCAACAGCTCCTTGGACGAAAAAGACGAAATTAAATTCCAGACGAATATTTCTGCTTGTACAGTAAGCGATTTTGTGGGTCCCGTGTCGAGTTCGCGGTTTTACAGTACGAGCTGCCTGGAAAAGATGAAGAAGATTCGCGGTTCGCGTGAGACTCGGCTGGAGACCGAAATTTCCGCATCCGCTGGGACGCCACCACCCTCAAAAAGGTCCAGGCAGGCAGGTACAGGGGGATGGTCTAAGATCATGATTGAGAAACAGAGGGTACCAGGTTCAAGTCCTGCTTGGAAGCGAAAGGATTTTTCCAGCCGTGCTGCGACCCACAGTTAATTGGGAACTCGTGGCCTGGCACGAAGGAAGCATGGATGCAGCAAATGGGATTTTTGGCCTTTGACTACTTTGGTGGTGGGTCTGATCTACTCACCTCCCACCGCTTTATGGGGTATTCACACGACGCAAATCCACGTGCACCGGAAAGTTGCTATGGTATTTTACCTGTGAACGAGAAAAGTGCCTGAAAGTGGCTGAAAAGTGAAAGCGAGCTGGGGGCCCACTTTCACGATAATCGTGGTGTGCACGAGTACATTTACACCAAAAAGCGAGAAACAAGACTTGATTTTTTACGCGGCTCATTAGAGCATGATAATTGTCGTATGTGTGTTTTGAAAATTTGAAATACCCATGGCTACTGGTCGGTGAAGCATTCAAAAATGCAAACGTGCCTGTCGTCGAGTGCAGCTGTGTGAATCCACACAGTCACTTTTCTCGTGTGTCACTCCCTGTAAAACGTGCAAGTGCCTGTCGTGTGAATACCCCATTAGGAGCTGCATCTTCTGCCTGGAAACACGCTGTGAAATTGAAGAAACACTCCACATGATAGTATTAAAAAGATTGAATACATGATTGTACATGTATGTAAGTCCAACTTATGTGTGTCAAGTTGCAACAAAGAAATATCTTCCTCGATAAAATCACGAGAAAAATGTGTTAAATACAGAAGAGCAATGTAGTAAATACAGAAGCATGGCCTGCAAGTAGTAGCCCCGGAACAGCCCATACATGTATGCACTGACATCAAGTGGGTGACTTGACATCCATCAAGTATGGTACCCTGTTACGATGCAGGGTCATGTGTGCAACGGACCACGTAGTAAGAGGTGTGCATTTGACGATTGCCTCAGAACGGTTTTCACCCGGCGGGTGAGATAGGGGTAAGATGATTACCGAAGTATGCAGGTACTCGCTCGGATCAGGGTTCTCTCGATCAGTGAGTAGTAAAAATACCTGCCGCCAAAGAGACTTCTACCGTGACATGCAGGATGGTTGGTTGACTACCAAACTTTGCAAAGGCAGACTATTGTTGGAAATTCTCAGCGCTGAGTTTCTAGAGGCTGTAGCAGGAGTCTATTTGGCGGTAGGTGTTTTGCTGGTGAGAATGGTTCCGAGGCAATCATCAAACTGGTCGTGTATGCTTGTGTTACTTCCAGGTAGAAAGCTAATGTATGTTGTGCAGTAAGATTGTAACTGGCAATATGCTGTCACTTTCGCTCTGTAGCACATCAGGTTTCAATTTGACTGTTCATTCTTTTGCTGCTGCTGCTGCTGCTGCTGCTGCTACCGTTACTGTTGCTGTTGTGCTAAATTTCCAGGTTCTTATCATGTTCCTCTGGTTTCATCCTACTCAAGGCAATGAATTTCATCTCTCAGGAAATGGAGAGCTGGCTCACGGTAAGGCAGGGCTACGTTCACCTGTTCACAGTCAATTCCTCATTCACACACCGAGAGAGCACGGCGCGTTGCCTAGAGCAATGTTACAGGAGTGAGGGTGATGTTACAGTGGACCTCTGCATTTGCCAAATTGTGGATCTACGAGTCTGGGCCATGACAACGTATACAGGGTAGTTCAGGACTGGGGTACAGAATACGAGAGCCAGCTACCAACATCACCTATACAGGGTAGTTCAGGGCCGGGGGAGGGGGGGGGGGGTACAGAATACGAGAGCCAGCTCTAAATTTCTAACCAAGTTCATGATTGGGAAATAATGCTATGAGAGGCAAGTGTACACTGGAGAGGTGGAAGAGGAGAAGACTGTGTTATCACCGGCAGTGGACTGTGTTATCACCGGCAGTGGACTGTGTTATCACCGGCAGTGGACTGTGTTATCACCGGCAGTGGACTGTGTTATCACCGGCAGTGGACTGTGTTATCACCGGCAGTGGACTGTGTTATCACCGGCAGTGGACTGTGTTATCACCGGCAGTGGACTGTGTTATCACCGGCAGTGGACTGTGTTATCACCGGCAGTGGACTGTGTTATCACCGGCAGTGGACTGTGTTATCACCGGCAGTGGACTGTGTTATCACCGGCAGTGGACTGTGTTATCACCAGCAGTGGACTGTGTTATCACCGGCAGTGCCACATGTAACACAATTCTCAGACATTAACAATCAAGAATTCGCCAGAAAATAGAAAAATTGCTCGTATCTCCATCCTCACATGTGTGCTTGTATCCCTGTGTGCGTAGAGTGAATGTCTGGCATATGTTGTCTCGGCCGAGACACAGCTAACGCAGACGCTGCTCTCGTTCAAGCATCTGCCGGAGGGCCACTACGCAAGGCGTTCACTGGACTGTGAAGAAGAACAGTAAGTAACACTGGTGGTGGCTAGCGGCAGTCTGATGTCTTGTTCTCGATTGCCACTTGCTGCTGCTCCTCAAGGGAGTGGTTAAACCCCCAATTAACACTGTGCTGTACTTCGTAGGTGCAACAGTGCAACATACATTGTGTTACAGCCAGGCTCATTGCCATTGACATGTAGGGTGAAGATGACACGGGCAGTGTTTGACAATGTGATGGTTGTTTGTTCAACGGCGGTGTTTTGTTCAGGTATGCACCTCACAACGTCCAGTTACTGCTCCCGGTGCATCTGTATGGTGAGCTGTGTCAGCATCGAGAAGGCTTCAACATGCTGTCGCAGGCTGTGAGTTTCAAACATGTTACCTGTACTGAGCCACTGACGTGTCGAGTAGAATGCAGCGCTTTGCAGCAGCTAGCAATACACTCCATTTAACAGCTTGGACTATGGAGTGCTTGAGGCACGTAGAGGTCTACCCTCGTTAGTACGACATCGGGTACAAGACAAACCTCATTAGTAGACAACGATCCGAAATCCCCTGACGCCTGAAATGCATTTTTTTAAACAGTCGTACGTGCAAATCCGGATAGTAAAACTGGTTATATTGTAAAGACAAAATAATTGAAACCCCGTGGTTGTCTACTAATGAGGGTAGATCTGTAGCATCCAGGGTGGCCATGAAGAGAGTTTGAATACTGTTGCATGCCTGTGACAATACTGGGCGAATAGGGGCTGCTAGTACAGGTGCATGCACAGTAAAACTTGTAAAAACTTGTCGCATATGGTGACCACTCGACTGGGTGGTTGCTGATCCCGTTGCCAAGGGCAATGCTATGCCTTCACACTTAGCCCTAGCCCTATTCTTTCACCTCTGCCTGTTCTCATCTCTGCTGCTTCGGAAACACATAATGGTATCTATATGCAGGCGCGTGCGCCGGTGCCCTTCAAGGGGGGTTCCGGGGCGTCCCCCGGGAAATTTTTCAAAAAATGAAGCAAAATCCTGCATTTTGAGCGAGCACCCAGGAACCGGGCACCCAGGAACCCATACGGGGCACGCGCCTGTATATGCGCGTGCAGTATGTAGATGGAGATGTCATGTGTGTATACTGTATACTACACATACTGTGTGTAGATGGAGATGTCATGTGTGTATACTGTATACTACACATACAGTATGTAGATGGAGATGTCATGTGTGTATACTGTATACTACACATACTGTGTGTAGATGGAGATGTCATGTGTGTATACTGTATACTACACATACTGTGTGTAGATGGAGATGTCATGTGTGTATACTGTATACTACACATACTGTGTGTAGATGGAGATGTCATGTGTGTATACTGTATACTACACATACTGTGTGTAGATGGAGATGTCATGTGTGTATACTGTATACTACACATACTGTGTGTAGATGGAGATGTCATGTGTGTATACTGTATACTACACATACTGTGTGTAGATGGAGATGTCATGTGTGTATACTGTATACTACACATACTGTGTGTAGATGGAGATGTCATGTGTGTATACTGTATACTACACATACTGTGTGTAGATGGAGATGTCATGTGTGTATACTGTATACTACACATACTGTGTGTAGATGGAGATGTCATGTGTGTATACTGTATACTACACATACTGTATGTAGATGGAGATGTCATGTGTGTATACTGTATACTACACATACTGTGTGTAGATGGAGATGTCATGTGTGTATACTGTATACTACACATACTGTGTGTAGATGGAGATGTCATGTGTGTATACTGTATACTACACATACTGTGTGTAGATGGAGATGTCATGTGTGTATACTGTATACTACACATACTGTGTGTAGATGGAGATGTCATGTGTGTATACTGTATACTACACATACTGTGTGTAGATGGAGATGTCATGTGTGTATACTGTATACTACACATACTGTGTGTAGATGGAGATGTCATGTGTGTATACTGTATACTACACATACTGTGTGGCTGTAGTGACTGTTACTGTGACTGTGTACTGCTGTCTTTGTGCTTGGCGTTGTATTGTGAAGGGCCATGTGAGTCACTTTGTTCACCGTCTTCAAGAGAGTGTCAACTCTACGTCGACGGGTGCTGGTGTACAGCGCATCAAGGCTGCAGTCTGGGCACTGGTAAGTATATTAGCAAGTGTGAGAACTAGCAGCGGCATTCTTCATAGATTTGCAACAACCTGACCAGACTGGTCTGGCCCAGCAATTTGTCATGGCTTGTCTGTGCCGCCAGCCGGAGTGATCACCACTGTCGCCAGCTGGAGGTCCTGCGGCTGATAATGGATTGACTGACACGCGAGACATACACAGGATTGTGTATCAGTGACTAAAAGTCTACTTCTTTTGAGATATTTGCTTCTGTCAGACTTGTGATGGTCCCGTTCGAGCGTTCAAATTTTGCTATGCTAGTACATTGCTAGCGTGACTACACACGTCTGTATGTGTGTGTGTGTGTGCACGCGCGCACGCGCGCGTGTGTGTTTGTGTGTGTGCGTGTACATGTGCGTGCATGTACGTTCGGGTGCATTTGTGTGTGTGTGTGTGGTGAATTCAGTGTCACATTGGCAGCAGCACTGGAGGCGTGGAGGCATTGGTAAAAGACGGTGTCTTCTCCATCATCATCGACCTGGCCAAAACCAGTCCCGTCTACTCACTGCGAGGGTAAGCCACTCTTCATGCACACATGCAGTGCAGTTAACTTACTTTAAGATGCTCACAGCAGCAATGCAGTTACTGCTGGTGATAGCGGCGGTGAATAGATTTGCTTGGTTCTCAAAAACTTCTTGTCACATACCGGTGTGCTCACGAAGGGGGAGGGAGCTCTACAGCCATCTGGTTCCATCCCTGTTGTGTAATGTAGATTAACCCTTTGCTGGTCTAACTCAATGTATGTGAGGGGTGGTCACGCAAATACATGTACACACAACCAGCAATAACTCAAGAACCATGTGATGTAGGTATGGGTAAACCATATATTTTCAAAACCTGTATGCCTGAACGCGTCAAGAAAATTCGAATATGACTAGGTCGAGGCAAGGATAGGGCCCATGGTAGCCCTTCAAGCTGAGAGAAAATACAATTGCGAATGAAATACACGAATATCACAGCACGAAGGGCATACCAAGTTCGTGATGGAGCTGAAGTCGTACGATAAACAATCAGGTAAGGGCTACGTCTTTACAAGAAATGTAGGCTCTCTACAATACCGCCATTGAACACCAACACCTCGCCATCGGCGATACGCCAGCAGCAGCAATTCCCATTCCACGATATCGCAGTTTCGGTTTGTTCATCTCAGCGCTGCTCGCGTCAGATTCACTCTCGCTCAGATTAGTACTCGGGCGCGAGCTTACGCATGCCGTGATTCTCAAGGCCAGGCGAATCAGCTGATCGCACCGGACGAGTCCTTGTGACAGTCGCTGTCGCCGTGTCGGCAGCAAGAAGGCTTCCTCTCTGTTTGGAGAATGTTGTTTCTTCATTCGTGGACGATATATTTTTGAACTAGCAGGACTCAACGGAGCTCTTTTTCTCAACATACTAACTACACTGCAAAACCTCCCGGGAGATCCAGCCTGGACTGGTGATGTTACTGCTCTCAGAATGCTTGTCAAACACGGCCCCAAGAGATGCACTTGCATTCTCGAAATGCGCCCATGGCGGATGGTCGTCTTTTCCAATTTCAAAAAACTTCAGTTGATCGATACGGCAAAAATTTGTATGGTAAGCATGGTTGTTTTGTACATCGTCAGAAAGCCTTGGACCTCAGCTACGCGTAGAGCGCCATTTTAGCTGTCTCCTAGCAACAAGACCCCAACAAAAATGAGGGCCAAACGTACCGATACTATAGTATCGATTCGCTTATGCAGTCCGTGCGCCAGATTCAAAAAAGTCGTCTAAAAGTTGACTTTTCATTTTCCGCACTGGGCAGTTTGCGGGTACTTTTTGAGTCGCATTCTCAATGGTGGACAATTATTTTATTTTGGAAAATGGTTTTGTGTCTATGGCTCGTTTGTTTTGGCATTTCGTTACCTGTGTGGTGAGCCTAAAAATTGCGCTTAGCCGTGGCAACGCAATGGTGTATTCCGTTTTTCAGCCAGATGACTTGTTTCGCTGTGGTCCGGCATCTTCCTAGATTCTCAGCCGTCGTCGAATTTGAGTATTTTCGAAACATTTTTTAGGGTGCAGGCGTGGGGCAAGGCTTTCACTCCCAGCCAATGGCACCATTTGGCATAACTCGGCCCTATGAACACGTCAGCAGGCCCTCGTTAGTGTCCAGCCCATATTTCCAAAAAATGGACTGGACTTGAAACTTGAGTGTACAGACAGTACTATGCATTATGCACGTAATGACCGTATGCAATAACTTTCGCAAGCTACACGACAAGGACTCCTGCAGAATAACATAATGATATTCACACCATATGCCATTGTGGTGCACCGTGATACCAATGACAGTATATTTATCGGTGATCAATTGCCTACTGGGTCGCTCCGTTGCCGAGAACGTCAACTTTGCGGACTGTGGAATGACCCGCGACACCGCCAACCACCCCTGACACAAAGCCAAATGCTGAAAGAGCTGACTGATACGGTACCTAGCAAGTTAACTGGATAATGCTCATCTTCAACAAAACCAGGACATAAAACAGTGCTATGATAAACTACCTCCAGTCACCGGAAACAAAATTTGTGCATTACGCATATGGATAGAGATTGCACTAGTACATGTATAATTGCATACTGTAAATATACAAATTTTCGGCAGCTATTTAATTTCGGCTATATTCGGCACCGATCCAAAACGCCTAAATTAAAACGCCGATGAAATTTTTCGCAGCATCTGTCGCACTATACCATGCCCTCTACCCCACGCCGAAAATAAATCGCCGCCGAAATGTCAAAAATCGTGAAGTGCCGAAATTTTGCAGCGCCGAAATTTTGTATATTTACAGTACCAATCTTATAGCCGTTTCACACTCGCGTCTTTCTGTGACGTCGTTTTCAACCAAAACGTCGACTTGCTGCACAAGTCGATTCACACACACATCAAACACATCGTTTTGCCAACAATCAGCAACATTATTAGCAGTCCATGGGCAAAAAAATAACGGCATGCGAGTAGATTCAAAATAAAAAAATTGGGGGGAGCGGAAATCATTGGAAGCGTAAATCTGGCACCAAATCCGCAACAGGCAAGCCTCGGCCTCATTATCAAACGTTTTCGTCATGGTGAAGGTGAAGGTACGAACAAAGGCACCGGTATGAAAAGAAAAGAACGGAACTTCAATGTCAAAGTCGAAAGGAACGGAACAGAAGAAAATTTTTTTGACAGATGCAGCTAGCAGGTTGCATGCTCACTTCAAATTTCCCCGCCAAGATCTCTGCGCATGCGGATAGGCCAGACAAGAGTTCAAGACGACAAAAAAGACGAAGACGTGGCCGAAGACTCTGCCCATAGGGCCGCGTCTGCGTTTTGAAGTCTTCAGCTCACGTTTTGGGGATTCCCCGGGATCGCCTAGGCAACGAAGACGAAGACGCGAATAAAGACGTGAGTGTGAAACGCCTATTAGAGAAACAAAACAAGTTATCGGGTCTATACCATCAGAGTTGGCGGCTATATGTATTGGATTCTCCTGGTGTGCAGAATGATGCTGGCGGCGTGGTTCATATCCACTGTTGGCTTGCTGTCGGCAGTACCTTCACTATCTCACGTCTAAGGCATTTTATAGTCTGCATGACTTGGATCAGAACGCCATAGCAGGGAACACGATAACGGTCGGACATCGGACATTTTCCGACCATTTTCGGTTTGAATCCGGCGCTTTTTTACTTGAACGGACAAACTGTCCGACCGAAATTCAGAAATGGCGTCGTTGGGGAAGAGAAAGGCTGACGACAATGGCGCTCCGCCTGGGAAGAAGTCCCGCGGAGTTAGAGCAGCTACTTGTGAAAAGTGGGTTTCGCAGTATGAAAAGGAGCTGTCCACTTCAGTTTGGCTCCAGTTTGAGCGTAGTAAAGGAGATCGAGAAGTAGCAGAAGTGTTGAAATGTAAACTTTGCTCTCAGTTCGTTGAGAAGCTGAGAAGTTCAAAAAACTTTTCCGAGTCGTTTGTTACAGGATCCAAAAATTTGAAAACGTCCGCGTTCAAGGACCACGCCGCTTCAGAAATGCACCAGCGTGCGATGTGCCTGTATCGAAAGGAGCAGTCCTTGGGCAACGCTATTGAATACGCTCCTATCGCACAGGCTCTGTGCAAGATCGATGAGGCAACTGCTGCGAAGGTTGGACGAAAGTTCGACATCGCATACGTGCTTTGCAAAGAACACATCACTTTCGCGAAGATGGGGACGTTCTGCCAACTCGAGGAGCGACATGGTGTCGATCTTGGAACTGGAAACAAGAACGAACAAGCGTGTGCCACTTTCGCGGACTACATCGGTCTTTCGCTGAAAAATCAGCTCAAGTCGAACGTTCAGAAATGCAAGTTCTTCAGTATTCAAACGGACGGAACAAGTGACGCAGCGAACGTTGAAGAGGAGTTGTTCGTGGCCCTGTTTTGTGAAACGCACAGCAGCGATGGCCAGATTTACGTACGTAGTCAGTATGCCTGTGTTCTGCAGCCCCGTTCTGTTGATGCGAACGGACTCATGGCTTGTTTCGAGCGAGCTATGGAGAAAGTCGGTCTTGATTGGTAATCGAAACTGATCGGAATAGGCTGTGATGGTGCTGCTGTAAACATGGGATGAAATGGTTTACGAGGGAAGCTGGCTGACGTGGTTCCGTGGATTGTACCTGTTTGGTACGTAGCTCATCGACTAGAGCTTGCTCTCAAAGATGCTCTGAAAGGAACACTCTTCGACATAGTGGATGAGCTGCTCTTGCGCGTGTACTATCTCTATGAAAAATCTACAAAAAAATGCCGAGAGCTGGAGAGTGTTGTACAGTCCCTGCGTGAGTCACTTGAAGATCACGATGATGACATTCCGTGCAGTGGTGGCTACCGCCCATTGCGTGCAAGTGGCACACGCTTCATCTCACATAAAGTGGCTGCTCTTCGACGCATCATCGACTGTCTGGGCGTGTATGTTGCTCACCTGCAGACTCTGATTGACGACCCTGCGGTGAAATCTGTGGACAAGGCCCGGCTGAAGGGATACGTACGCACTTGGTGCTCAGGGAAGGTATTGTTTGCCTGTGCCTTCTTCCATGATCTGCTGAAACCGTCTGCCATCCTCTGCAAATTGTTGCAAGCTGATGAGATTTGCATTGTCAGCACCATTGAAGCGATGCTCAAGGTGAATGCGTCCGTCGAGACCATCCAGTCCGCTTCACTTGACGATCTTCCCACCGTCAAACAAGTGAAGGCACGTTTTCGACCGGACGAGAGTGGGAACCTGATGTACCAGGGGGTTAAAGTCAGCACTGTGGACGCCGCCTTCAATCAAGTGAAGGCGATCCATCAGGATGTCGCCGCCAAGATCAGCAGCTGCTTGAGCGCACGGATTTGGGACGACAACAAGCAGCTGCTGTCCGACTCGCTTTTGCTATTGGCAACACATGGCTGGAACAAGCACTCGGATGCGACCTTCGGCGTAGAAGCTATTGAACGGCTAACGAGGAGTTTTGAAGCACCGCTTCAGAAAGCTGGAGCAGATGTGACCCTGATCGCAGATGAATGGGATGAGATGGTTGTGTACGCTCAACGATACTTCTGCCTGACAGACGGTCACCGTCAAGTTTGGAAGCTTTTTAATGTCGCCGAAGCCTGTCGTTGGCAGAACATGCTGTGTCTGGTCGAGCTGCTATTCTGCCTGCCTATGTCGAATGGCAAGGTAGAGCGGATCTTCTCGACGGTGAAGCACGTCAACTCGGATCGCCGGTGCCGCCTATCGGAGGACCGCTTGGATGCGCTAGTGCGCATTGCCGTTGAAGGGCCACCTGCTGCAGACTGGCAGTCCGGTGAAGCTGTTTCCCTGTGGTGGAGCGACAAATGCAGAAGAACGGTCCGCGACAACAGAGCTCCCGCAGCGTCAGCTCGCTCCCAGCCTGAGCCATCGGATGACTCCGACCAATACCAGTTGGATTTGGAAGACTGGGACAATTTCACACAGCAAGCATAGAGCACGACTAGTTCTGCTGCTTCTATTGGCAGTGAATAGTTGGTACTTACCATGGCATGCTGCTGCATAATGCACAAATATGTGAAATCAATGTTCCCATCATGAACAATACTTGAGATCTGTCACAATCATACTATTGTGACTAATACCAACAGCAGGGTTGTTTGCTGTGATGTAGCGACTGCGTATATGCGTGCCGCATGTCAGTTATGAAAGTGGCGCATGAAAGGGAGAAAATCTGCAAAAATCACAGTGTCCGGCCATGTCCGACCGTTTCCGAAAGTGTCAGGACATTGTGTCAGAGCAATGTAAAAATCTTATCGTGTTCCCTGCCATAGTTATCCACACGAGAATGGTAATAAATCCAGATCACTAAGGCCTTCTTCACTGCAGTTGGCGCAATACGTTCACGGGATCGCGTCTCCGACCTCCAAACTGTAATTATACCTGGCTAGTCTGTTGTTTATTGGCAGACAAGAATTGCGATGCTTCTTCAAAAGAGGCAGTTTAGCGATGTCTGTCCATGACATATTCCGCATTGCTGTGTGTGGAAGGAAAGGTGCAACAATATTAGATTGCTGCTGGCCATAGACATCAAACTGCAACATCTGGGCTTCAGCTGTCACAGGTCCATTGACAGAGAGACTGCCGCATATTGCACATACTGCAAACTATTGACTTCATGCCATCGCCTCATGGATCAGAAGTCACCACACTGAAAGGAGAACAGCAGAGGAAAACAGAACTGATGCAGTTAATCGATGCAGTTAATTGGCAGCAACAAATTTACTCCTTCATTTCATTTGACGAATTTGAGTCGTGTAATGCAAGAAAAAAGTCAGAGAGCAGGATCTAGGAGAGGGCATGCACCAGTTCTGTTGTGCCTATAATAATTAGATGCTCAGAATTTCACCACAATAATGCACATAATACTGACATATTTACACTATGCAACCTAGTAGTCAACAAATTCAGAAAAAAATCTAGTACTTCAGCTGGTGAAATATCCCACCTCTATCCCCTAAGCTCAAATGTCCCTGTAAAATTGATAAAGGATTGGTAGATGCTCACTCGGAGTGGTGTTTGAAAAGTAACACAACATGTCATTACGATTTAGAGCATGCTCAATTGTCTCTTCTCATAAAATCACAATATTGCCTGTGCATGGTTTATTTCGGGTGCAATTGTGGGGCACATAGGTATCACTCTATTTTCTCGTGCATTCGAAAGATATAAAGCTTTGGTCTATCACCCCACAAAGCGGCTTTAGTGTCCGCGATGGGTAAATGCCTTACCTGGTGTGAAATTGGTGACCATATTCCTCGTTTCAGCAATTACAAAAATGAGACATTCGTCCTGGGTGGCTGCTCACGAACTGCAAGCTCCAAAATAATTTTCCAGGGTACGGCCATAGGTGTCTACATCACTCCGAGCCATCTCTCCAGTGTAGGAAAGGTCTCCTGACGAGACTAGAAGGGCTCTAAGCAGCAAATTTCATTGAAATATTCACCATTCGGAGATAGGCGAAATCAACAGAAAACAAGCCCGCAGGTGCGGCGCCTTGGAGGCTACGATTCCCGCGAGAAAATGAAAATCGGTCTCTCAAGGGCCTTGGCGCACGGACTGTATGGTAGACCGGTAAAGGGTTACAGGGGAAGTTAAGGCAAAAATCAAAATTTCACCAGTTGTAGTATTCGGGGTGCTGAGTCGAATGGTCTTGGTCCGAGAAAGCTGAGACGCTCCCTTCCTACTTGAATCCCAATCGAACTCTCGCACTTCCACCGAAACTGGGTGACTGCGCCCTACTAGATGGGGATTTGCATGCAAAATGTCACTAAAAGCGCCATTTCGTTCTTATAAAAGCACGGATGACCGCGATTGGCCCATATGTTGTAGTCTTTTGGACGCTGAGTCGACTGGTTTTGGTCCGAAAAGGCTGCGATGCAGCATTCCTCCTTTATTCCCAAACGAACATGGTTGAACAAGCGGTCACGTGCTCCTGGGTGCCCAAATCACCTGGTCACCACGCCAGCAGGCGACAACTTTCACACCAAGGTTCAACTCGAGTTCAACTCGAGTGTCAGGACTGCAACCAAAAAAGGTCAAACAGGCTAGTAAGTTGTACCCTGCAGGCACGGTGACCAGGTGACTGGTGTACGCAGGAGCACGTGACCGCTTGCTCAACCATGTTCGATTGGGAATGAAGGAGGAACGCTGCATCGCAGCCTTTTCGGACCAAAACCAGTCGACTCAGCGTCCAAAAGACTACAACATATGGGCCAATTGCGGTCATCCATGCTTTTATAAGAACGAAATGGCGCTTTTAGTGACATTTTGCATACAAATCCCCATCTAGTAGGGCGCAGTCACCCAGTTTCGGTGGAAGTGCGCGAGTTCGATTGGGATTAAAGTAGGAAGGGAGCGTCTCGGCTTCCTCGGACCACGACCATTCCACTCAGCACCCCGAAGACTACAACTGATGAAATTTTGATTTTTGCCTTAACTTCCCCTTTAATAGGAATGACTTCGCACCGCTGTAGAAGGGTTGGTTGCTCGCTTGTAGAAATTCCAGCAACCGTGCATAACTGGTGTTTTTGCCTCCACCGACCGCAAACACTCTCCTACATACGATCTTGAACATAGGCATGACCATTTCAGGGGGACTGGGGTCAGAGCTACCTGGCCTGGTGAATGTAAAATGACTACATCCAAATCAATACAGGACAAAGTGAGAAACAGTACTAGGATCCCGGGCCGCATTGCAGGTGTGTGTGCTTGAAAGCAGAAAAATCCGTGCCTTCCAACAGCGAATGACGACGCGTAAAAAATAACTCCTTGAGAGAAAGAGAGAGAACATTAAGGGAAACAAAATACTGGTTGTTGTTGGACGCCATTGCTGCGCACCTGGCGATGACACATTCTGCCTTCGTGATGTCGACTCCTTCTGCCTTCACACGTACTAGTAACTTTGTCCTTTTGTATCGCATCGTTTCGTGTCGGCTGCATGCAGTGATATTTCGTAGCATATCTTTTCGTTTCGTTTGCATGCCGTGTTATCTTGTTCTCCTAACATGTATAATATTGTGCGTCTGTGTGTGTGTGTGTGCGTGTGCGTGTGGGTGTACATGTGGGTGTCTGTCTGTATGTGTCCATGTCTGTGTCTGTGTGTGTTCCAGAACGTGTGTCCTAGCCTTAGCACTGGTAGCTCAGCGACCGGAAGGCTGCGCTGCCCTTGTCGCTCTTGGCTGGCAGTGCAGTGGACAGGCAGCAGGAGTTGCCTATTTTGCGGCTGAGGAACATGAGGAGGAAAGTGACAGCACGGCGGAGTTTGACGGTGCATTTGATACGTCGCTGAAGGATGACGAAGATGATTGCAGCACCACAGGCAGAATTGAAAGCCTTGGCAGCACTGAGGACCGTAGCTTGCCGAAGTCGCACACTGATAAGCCAATCAGTGAATCCGATACGATACCCGGAAAATTTCGCCGGCGTACGCTAAGCGGTAATGACAGCACAATGGTCAAGATTCAACGGCAATCCACACCAGACGAGGTTGCTGTTCCTCCTCAACGTTACATGCCGCGTAAGTCCAGCGTACCGTTTGCAACGGCACCGCCACAGATCTCCTGGGGCAATACACTGGGACGCTCAACTCCTACCGGCTCTCTGACTTCGGCCAATTCACCATCGGGTCGCTTCTCACCCAGAGCATTGACACCACTTCGAAGGCGCATCTCCATGTCGCCAAGTCAATCATCCGTCTTTACTAGTGTCGACAAACCATCCAGGTAAAGCCATCTATCACTTCTAAACGCATATTTTCTTTCCTCTGTGATGCACTGCATAGATGATGGGTGCTCCGTCGTCCACTGCATAGATTGTGGATGTTTCTCCATCATGCACTGCATAGATCATGGGTGCTGCGTCGTCCACTGCATAGATTGTGGGTGTTTCTCCATCATGCACTGCATAGATCATGGGTGTTTCTCTGTCGTGGATGTTGCTTCAAGTTCGGTCCATTTTCTGTCTCCATTGTTTTAGTTTGTAGTTAGTTGTTGGTTTGTTGTTTGCTGCTGCTGCTGCTGATAATGATGATGTTTTCATTGTTTTTGCTGCTGCTGTCCCTACAGAGAAGGTACGTTAGGCTTGTTGGCCTTCAAGAACAAGGCAAGAGCAGCCAGCAATCTCTTCGCAGTCTGCCTACCTGATGACATCCGACAACTTTTTGAGGTGAGCGATGAGCTGTAATAAGATGCTGTTGCTGCTCCTGTTGCTGCTGCTGCTGCTGCTGGTGTTGTCTTCGTTGTTGCTGCTGCTGCTGCTGTTGTTGTTGTTGTTGCTGTTATGTTTGGAGAATAGACGGACCTTTGTTTATTCGTTGAGTTGGTATTGGACAGGATTTTTTGTCATGGAATGTGCTGCCCTTACATCGTAACCGCACAGTTCAACAATGTCTCCGATTTTTTTAAAGAAAAAAAGAATGCAGCATTCACACACATATGTGCATATACATGTACATGCGCCCGGTCTGATGGTGTTCCTGTCCGAATACTCTTGGTGTGAGTTGAATATTCGTATCATGCATACTGTGCTGTGCCACATTGCACTGCAGAGCTCTAGATGAGTTTCGTTGCTTTGCTTCTGTGCTTTTTCTTCAGTTTGACGCACCGCAGTGTACGAGCTCCTTTGCCGAGCACGGCATAGACATGTCGTTTGATCTCTATTTAAAGTTTGACAACCTGCATGTGCCGGAGACCTGCTTGAAATGCTGCATCACGCCCAATGATGACATCATCAACGCAGACCAGGAGAACACTGTGGTGACGGCTGAGGGAGCTTACGGGTAGGTCTCCACTACACGTACATTCAACTTCGCTAATAACGACTTCGGATATAACGACAATTCGCGAATAACGACAGAATTTCCATGCCCAGAGCAAAGTCTCATCTGACTGTATACATTTAACTTTGGATATAACGACTATCTGAATAACGACAATTCGCGAATAGCGACATGATTTTAGTGCCCCGGGGTCATATTCACTGCTTGAATAACGACTTTCTGGGCTTTTGACAGCTATTTCAAGTACTGAGTACCTGTCCTGCAGAAGTACCTGAACCCGTGGCGATGGATAAGGCACACGTACATGTACAAGAAGATACAGCGGGGGGAGGGGTGCTTTTTGAAAATTTTCTTTTGCTTCAAAATAGTTGGAGTGATTAGCACACCTATTGTACATGTAGTTGTACATGATTGCACAGTAATCATCATTCTACTACAATGAACATGTCCCTGCAGATGGCTCCAAAGGGCTAATTTTTCAATAAATTCCCCTTTGATATTGACTTTATAGTTCCTTTCAGTTGCAATACAAAAATAAAGTACAAATTGACGTAGAGCATGAAAAGAGCTTCATTTCGATATGCATGTCATACTATACAAAATATGGGTTCACATACATTCAAATGGACTTCGGATATAAGGACACTTTTCTGATGCCCCGCCGAATGTCGTTATTCGCAAAGTTGACTGTATGTTGTAGGCTGTTTGCTGTAATTTGAAGCTTCACGTGTACAACGACCATCAGATTGCTTGTTGTCACATATGTTATCATAATTATCCTGCGGTAGTGTTTGTTAAATACACCCATTTTTGTACACTACTGGAGTTCTACTCCTAAAGAGACCGAGAGAGTGAGAGTGAGCAAGCGAGTGAAATGCAGGAAAGAGTGAGTGTACGTGAGTGAGAGAGTAGCTGATACGGTCGATCAACAATGATCTGTTGGCTCTTGCATTGCACACAGGAGCAAAGTGGCCACGGACGCAACGCAGTTCTCTGACAAGACACCAGCGCAGCGTAATGCGTTCGCCAAAGAAGTTGTCAAGTTGGTCACCAAGCTCAGCTGCCCAGTTGGAAGTCGGGCAACTCAACAATCCTTGCTGGCGTAAGTTTGCCATCATTACTCTGTGTACAGCAGGTGGGGGGGGGGGGGGGGGTGTCGGTCAATGCTGCATCAGCAGCTGAGATGCAGTCATTATCTAGTGACCATGCTGTGCTTCACGTGAGTCACACGTACATCTCTTGTAGATCTCATGCCGGTACTTTCACTGTTCTCGGAGACTCAATGTCTGCATCTCTTGTAGATCTCATGCCGGTACTTTCACTGTTCTCGGAGACTCGATGTCTGCATCTCTTGTAGATCTCATGCCGGTACTTTCACTGTTCTCGGAGACTCGATGTCTGCATCTCTTGTAGATCTCATGCCGGTACTTTCACTGTTCTCGGAGACTCGATGTCTGCATCTCTTGTAGATCTCATGCCGGTACTTTCACTGTTCTCGGAGACTCAATGTCTGCATCTCTTGTAGATCTCATGCCGGTACTTTCACTGTTCTCGGAGACTCAATGTCTGCATCTCTTGTAGATCTCATGCCGGTACTTTCACTGTTCTCGGAGACTCAATGTCTGCATCTCTTGTAGATCTCATGCCGGTACTTTCACTGTTCTCGGAGACTCGATGTCTGTCAAGTATTGTCGTGGACATGGAAATCCAGTCGCATGACGCGGGGCCAGCGCCCTCAGTACGCACAAAACGTTGCATGAAGTGCACGTGTTGAATAAACTGTTGATCATATGCGTACTCACGGCTGCATGGCCAGCGCCCTGGGCCGCTTGACTTCCGACTGGGTTTCCATGTCCACGGCAGTACATGCACGGTCAACATCGCTAATAACGACTGCGGATATTATTATTATTTATTCCCGTAGCTATGCAGAAGACGTTACTTCAGTAACGTCTGGCGCTAGCCAGGGTCCACACAGCTTTAATTTGGTGTTTGTTTGTTTGTTTGTTTGTGTCACGGCTGGAACTATCCCGTATCTGTCCCGTATCTGTCCCGTATCTGTGACTACAAAGGCTCTACAGGATTGTACATAACAGATGTCCACAATATTTGCGGGTTCCTGTATCTGTCCCGTACCATACCAATATTCGTCGTATTATGTATACGACTCCCTGATGTAGAGGGAGATTTGGAAAGAAATAGGGAGACGAGGAGGAAATTAAATTAGAATAGACGCCGAATAGGTGATAGGATGCGTCAGCATAAACATACTTTGGAAGAGAGATCCCGTCGTCTCCAAAATAAGCGTGAACGAGCGATTCAGCTCCGGTCACAGGAAACGTCGGAAGAGAGATCCCGTCGACTCCAGAACGCCCGTGATCGGCAGAGTCCGCCGGTCCCAGGCAACGTCAGGACAGACATCCCGTTGAGTCCAGAACGCCCGTGATCGGCAGAGTCTAAGCCGGTCCCAGGAACCGTCAGGACAGACATCCCGTCGAGTCCAGAACGCCCGTGATCGGCAGAGTCAGCGCCGGTCCCAGTAAACGTCAGGACAGACATCCCGTCGACGCGCAGAAAAAATAAATCTGCAGCCTCTTTTGCCGTTGGACAGGAGACTGTAAAGTTATGTAATGTCCAAATTTCGACGTGAGCAGCAGGTCACTCGCGTTGATTTTTCGACGTGCGAGCCAAATAACGCGTCGCAGACATCCCGTCGACGCGCAGAAAAACTAAATCTGCAGCCTCTTTGCCGTCGGACAGGATACGTATTTTAGGAGACTGTAAAGTTATGTAATGTACTCCACAGGCAACCAAGCATTCGGCGTGGTCATTGGCTCAACAGCTCAATGTACATGTATTACTACAAAAAGGCCAGAAAATCCGATTACTGTATTACAATCAACTAATTTTCGCTGGCGATTTAATTTCGCTGATTTCGCCGCTTGGTACCAACCGGCCAAAGTAAATCGCAGGCCAAAGTTTGTCATATAGGCAAATGATGCATGATTAAGCAATGGATGCATGTGAGAGCAAAAATACCGATCGATTTCAAATTTGACGTGAAATTGCGCGTCACGTCGGAAATAACGTGCATCTTAACCTCTCTAATAGAGAGGTTTCTATTTCTCATCGGCCAAAATTTGTTGATTTACAGTATAACGAGATAAAAAGAAAAGAAGGAGCAAACCGAAAGTACATGATTATTAGAGAAATACATGTAACAATCCGCAATAAATTCTGCAAATACTTTTGCCTAACTCATAATATTCAAACCGATTGAAACGTTTTTGCAATACAGTGATGTGGCCAATCAACGGAAAAAGACATGTCCATCAGTTCTTATAACATGTACGATGAGCAAGGCAAAAAAGCATAAAAGCATAGCGTAGGGCCCTGAGCTTCCAAGCTCTCTCGTTCATATTTTACTAGGGCAGGATATGACGACAATTCGCGAATAACGACAGAATTTCCGTGCCCAGAGCAAAGTCAACGGCGCTTTACTGTAATACAGTATACTGTAAGTGTAAACCGTCCAATATTCGCGTCGCTAACTTGCAAACCTGTCCTGTCCGGACACAGACACGCAGAATTTGGGACGGGAGGGTGTGGAAACCAGGGTGCCGGATGATCTCTGACATTCCTCATCACAATCTCTTCTCGTTGATATTTTCCTCTGTGCTGGCACATTTCAGAATGAAGGACCGTAGCCCGGCGATGTTCAAGGACATCTGTATGTACAGTCAAGTGGCTCAGGTGCTGGCCACGTATCACTTTCGTCTGCACGTCCGCGTCTTCATCCAGGGTATGTTCGACGTCGCCGACACCCTGTCACCCCTGTCACCACTCCGATCGGGGGCCACTAGTCCTTCGAAGCACTCTGAGACTGTGAAACGCACCAAGGTCAATGTGACATCATGACATGACCGTTGTTGTTCTTGTACTATACACACGTGTATACACACTGACCATGTACAAAACAAAGCAGCAGCAGCTGCTGCTGCCCCCTTTGTCATTGTATTTCTCTATTTCTAGTCAAGATTTCTCTATTTCCCTATTTGTTGCACATATTCTATTTATCGAGCTACCTTTCGTCATGCTGCTCCCCTAGCATTCAAGTTATCTTTGCTTTCTCTAGTTGCCTGCCTGCAAATGTTCATACAGACAAAATTACTGACATATAACTAGCTCATGGACATTCATGCTGCACATGAAAAAACCCAGCAAATCAGATTCAGTTAGGACTCATGATCGTCAACATGTTTCACTGCTGCCATATAAACATACTAGCTATCTACTACGACATGTAGTGCATGTCAAATTTGGTTTCTGGTTCAAATCATGAGTTTGGGTTTATTTCATTTGCTTTTTCTTGAGACATTTCACACAAATGAGAGAATCACCTTGAATCCTGTGAATCCCACCACAAACAACAATTTACTCAAAAATCCTGCCCGTCCAGCATTTGCCATGGAATTTCTCCATAAAAGGTGTGGAGTGAGTAAGAGAAAAGTATTTGTTTCATGATATTTCTGGTTAGTATGACTGCAAGAAGATGGCGGGAGGTGGTGCCCCAGCCATAAGTTGGTCATCCCAGGCAAGAGAAGAATAGTTTTCACGACCAGGTCCAGAGCCTAAAAAAATCCTGCCCGTCCAGTATTTGCCATGAAATTTCTCCATAAAGAAAGGTGTGGAGTGAGTAGTTAGAGAGAAGTATTTGTTTCATGATATTTCTGGTTAGTATGACTGCAAGAAGATGGCGGGAGGTGGTGCCCCGGCCATAAGTTAGACCACCTAACCACAGCGGTCTTCATCCTTGGGTTCCTCTGGATCCTGCTTGATCATGTCATCAATTCTCAAGATGGTGATGGCTGCCTCGGTGGCCAACTTCAGTGTCTTCACTTTGCTGATTGCTGGCTCCAAGACACCGGCCTTCAAGTTGTCGCGTGGAACACCGTTAACCAGGTCCAGTCCCATACTGAATAAAAGCAGATAACAGAGACACACACATGCACACAGTAGAAGTTTGTCAGATTTCACTGGCTGCTGCAATGCTAACTAGGCCTAGTTGGAGACCTCAAGCCTGTCAAGGGCACCAGCAGTGTGGGACACAATCTCAGCCTGACGTTATTCCTATCAAGTTCTTCTTCTTGTACACGTAACTTCAGGTCAACCCAGCGGGAAGTTCAAGAGAGATACAACTTCGCACAAGGACACGTTGACATGGCTGTCTGAAAACATAAAAATCATATCCAGTGATCTGTGCATCAGAAATGTCATCAGAGTTTGCGTAATGGGAGTCGTGCACCCTGGGACTAAAAATTTGAAAAAAAAGAAAGAAAAAAAGTTGCCCATACAAGCATAATATAGCATATACATAACAACAGCATAGAATTCTAAAAGAAAACAAGATCACCATCAGCCAGCAGCCAGCTAATTTGGAATCATGGTTGCACCAAACACCGAAGTGGCTGGGAAACCAATCATACGGTAATTCCAAGCTATTCCATCATTTGGTGATCCAAATACAAGTAAGAACAGAAAAATCACATCACCCAACCTAGATTCGAACCGGCAATGCCATGTTTGGCAACGAAGTACCAAACCACTGCGCCACCAAGGTGCGGTGTCCATAACTTGGTAGTGCCAGTATACGAATGGGCCTCCCAAGCACAAAACACTTCTAAAACAAGACTATTTCGTAATCCAACATGCATGAAGACCACATTATACAATTATAACTAATTTTGCCATACTAGCAGTGCACTTACAAGCGCAGGTGATGCTGGTCCTGGACGGTTTGTGACCTGTGATGATATGCACGCAGCTTGGCCACCAGGTCGGAGGAATCCTGAGCAGCATTCACTGACAAGTACTTGGGGATGACGAGCAGTGCATCGGCATACCGGCCAATAGCAAGCTGTTCACGGGAGTTCTATAGCATTTCAACACACACACACACACACACACACACACACACACACACACACACACACACACACACACAAATGCACGAACAGTCAAAGGAGATGACCATAAGGAAAAGCCAGGTGACAAGAGGCCCGGCCATGTAGAACACAGCAAGAACAAAACAACTGTCAAACTTGAATGAGTGATTGCCGTAAGACCAAGCACGATTACATAGAATAGTTACATGATGTGGTATAGCAGTAAACGTGGACACACGCATACACACACACACACACACAAACCATGTACCACACCCACAACACTTACAATGGACTCGGCCAGGTTCTCCAAGTAGATGGATAGTGCTGTCTCCACAGCACCACCACCGGCCACAACCTTTTGGCTCTCCAACACACGCTTCACTACACAGAGCGAGTCGTGAATTGAGCGCTCCATCTCATCAACCATAAAGTCGTTGGCACCGCGAAGGATGATGGACGAGGATGAGTGGGATTTCGTGCTGAGTGTCCAACGGCAAACAAGAAACAAGGAAAGAACGCACATCACAAATGATCAATCACATGCACGTCAGTCAAAGGCGATGATAACCAAAGTCAAGAAGCGCTAACTTTAAACAAGGAGCGAGAATAAAAGCTGTTAAATGTACTGTGTAACTACCATTGCAAACCGTGAACAGGACAGGCTGGAAGATGACATCTGCATTAGCAACAAATTCTTGCAAAACCGCCTGATGCCGGTCATGACCAGTGCACTGCAGTCCATTCATTAGTAGTCATTTGCTGACCCACCATCAGCCAGCAGCCAGCTAAGTTGGAATCAAGCCAGTCATACAGCGACCCTAGGGTCACACCATGACGGTCATACGGTAATTCCACAGCTATTGCATCATTTGGTGGAAGATGTACATGACTGTACAGCGCCAGCTTGTGGTAACTAGAAGGAAGCTTTTTGGCAAGGATGCTGCTTGCAAGACTGGCATAGCCCGCTCTGAACTCACCCCTTGATCAGGATCAGCTCATCGTCGCTAATTCGTTCCTGGATGACTTCCTCAGCAGTGCCAAGACAGGATGCCTCAAATACATCCTCTCCTTCAAGGTTTGTCATGCTCAACAGTAGAGTAGCTGCAACAGGACAAACGCCAGAACCAAGCCAATCATCATACTAACACACCAATTCAATGCCAGCATGGTAAAGTCCACTGTAAACGCCCACCACCCTTGTAGTTGTACTGGATAAACTGGCCTGCATGCACTGCTACATACCAGTATGATGGTTGGAAAACTCTAAGCTGCATCTCACACCACAGGGCGAAGAGAATTTCCCTACAGTAAACCAGGGTTCTAGCCCCCCCCCCCCCCCCCGACGTTACTACACATGAATTCTACATCGCGCTTATAGTGCCTCGATGTGGCAAATGAACTCACACAAAGGTGCATTGAATGGAAGAAAACTCTAACGTGTGCTTTCTTTGAGCAAGACTATGACACCAGCTTGGCCAGAACCTGCTATAGTGCGTTTCAAAAGTCCAGACATCTGGTTTCAAAAACCGTTAGGCCAGCATCTAAACCACATACTTCCTCCGCGTCATTAAAATTGTCGCTTCGCACATCGCAATGTTTATGACTTGGCTCGTCTTAGGCAGACTGTCGGAATCGCTGTTTTCTGTGTTCGAACATTGGTGCGACCCTTCCTGCGCAATGTCTATTTGTTACTGAAGCCGTGGTTGTCTCGGACTTTGTCGGAGCTCTCTTCCGCACCAAGCAAATTCATCCCGCTCCGCACTATTCCGCCCCAGAGAGCATCTCGTTTTTCTGGAGTTTGTGCTGTCCCACATCGTTCGCGTGGGCATTTATCAAGACTGTAAGCTCGGGCATAAGAATCCTGGTATCTCTCCTGAATACGAAATGCTGAAGTTGACGATGGCAAGAACGAAGTTTTCTCAAATTCCTAAAATGCGCTACTTGTGGCACATGTTGCTGCGAAGGTCGCAGGTCTGAAAACACCAACAAAATCAGCAAAGCGCTTGCCAAGGAAAGAAGGTGCGGAACTGCTTACCCTATCCCGCTGGAAGGTCATTACAGTGTACTTGAAAAAAATGCTAGCTTGCCTTCATCGCCTGCCACCCGGAGGCATGGATCGCTTGAAAACGAAGTACAGTCGTCCCTCTCTAATCCGGCGCCTTTTGCAACGGAATTTTCTGCTGGATAAACAAGGGTGCTGGATTATCAAATCCTGCCCTCCAACCCGGCCCACATGCTAACTTAAATGTTAGTGTCGTACGTCAAAACGTAGGGATTTTCTGTGTCAATCCAAGTGCTTTGTGGAATGCATGTCTTTAATATACACTTGCCGGGAATATCCTATGCACTGGCATAGGATATTCCCAAGTGTACGTTACAATGCTCCTTGACAGTATGCGATGTACAACTGCTGGATTAGAAAACCGAAGTTTGTACAGTTTGAGTGATTTGTTGCAGAAAATCGCTGCTGGAGGCGGAACTGAAAAAATCCGTTTTGCCAGAAAGTGTGCTGGATAAACAAGTGCCGGATTAGAGAGGGACGGCTGTAATAGTTTCTTGACCTGAATTTGAACGCGCGTCGTTGTTCAGAGTATTGTTGAGTGCTCAAGGGTCTGCCTTAAACTCTGATGAAGACGTCGACCTTAGCTGCAAGTGCAGCAAAGCGGGAGGCCACAAACTAAAGCTTGGTCCGTCGACAATGCTTTGCCTCAATTTCTAGCGGATTTCTTGCCCTTCGAGTGGGCAAAATAAATTCGAAAAGTGGCTCTGGGAAGCGACAATTTTAATGACGCGGAGGAAGTAAACTCTGTGATCACTTTGTGCATAAAATCTTCGAAATTGGGCGTCTGTTATCCAATGGCCTAGAAATTTATACTTCCTCCGCGTCATCGAAATTGTCGCAGTTTGACTAGTGACTTGTCACTTGTTACTGACAACTCCATAAGCTAAGCCATTCAAAACATATTACACAGAATGATAGTCTGAAGCCTAGAGTAACGTTCCAGGACAGTTGGACTGAGAGTTTGCATGCAGAGATGAAGTCCTCGTCGTCGCTGATGTCAATGGACGCAAATATATCGTTCCGAAATATTTCAAGGAAGGTTGAAAGTTGGTCGCGCCTCATCTCAAACGCTTTGACTTTCTCCACAGGACAAGAGCTGCTATGCTTGTCGTCTGCTAGCTCTGGATGATTTCTACTTCACTACAAACGAAGCCTAGCAAGAATACATGATCGTTGCGAGGTCGGTTGATTACCGTCGGCGGAATCACCTCGATCTTGAAATGAACTTTTTTAGCCGTGGCATGCCCATTTATTTTAGCTGTGTGGTCACAGCTCATGCAGGTAAGTGTACTATCACGTCCAGCGCGCCCTCTTTTTCAGCATCACTGCCCGGCCCTGATTCACTGGTATACCATGGTACGGCACCTGCGCGTGCATCACTAGCACTACATGTAGAGTCTACACGGCTCTTGCAGGTACAATCATGTACTGAGTGTCTCGGCCAGAGCGACAAATTTTATCGCTGTTGCAGGCATTTAGTTTGCTGACCCCTCGATGTTTCTCCAAGCGCTGCCACTTGTTCCACGAAGTCATTCGCACCCCAGCTAAGGTAAAACAGCGATGAGGCTTGAGTGAATGGCCATAAGCACGAGAAATGTGCAGGCTGCAACGCCTGACTGATCTCAGCGAGTCGAAATTACCATCGCAGCGACATCAGCGAAGAAATTGCGCCTAGTTCAAAAATTCCAGCTTCCAATAACAGAAAATAGAACTTTGCCGTCACCCTATACTGATGACCATCGCCTATGTCCGATTCCTTACCTGTGGTACGAGTGCTGGTGAGTAAATACCCCGTTTTATATCAAAAGTCAAACTGCGACAATTTCGATGACGCGGAGGAAGTATGAGAAAAGATACGTGAGCTGCCTCAGCAATATTCCGAAGAAATTTCCCAAAAAGCTCAAACCAAATTTGAATTATTCGAAAAGATGTCTATACTTTTGAACGCCCTATAGTAAGCAACAGGAAGTTGGCAGGCAATGAAGTGATCCACATCAAGCAACATTGTTTACAGAACACTGTCACTAGCCGAACCCAATCATTCTAGCACGCGCACAGCCACGGCACAGCCATTTCATTTTCAAAGCACAGCATCGGCCCTAAACAATCACATACCTCCAGTGGCACGTGCAATTCGCTTGAGATCAGCGGTCTTGCAACGTCGCACAGCCATGGCACCAGCTTCCACAAAGTACTTCATGCAGAGGTCATCGATACCGCCACTGACAAGGATGACATTGGCACCAGTTGCAAGCACCTTCTGGATCTTTTCTTTGGTGATATCGGACTCACTGAAAACATGAGAAAAAAACAAGCAATAATTGAGAGGTTGTGTGCAGCGAAAATTCGCAAGCTTCATTACGCCATATGGGCCCTCGAATCGACTGAAAAAGAGCCCACCAACGAAAACTAAAAAGAAGCGAAATACTTACCAACGAAATAAGACAAGCATACCGCTACAATCATCAGGAGACTAAAGCTATTTTCCGAATAACATGGTCTTATTCACTTCAGGGATCATTGGGTGTAGGGCTATGGCAGGCATGCAGGGTCAATGCTCAGCGCAAAATAGGAAGGTGGCTTGGCCGATCGGTGTGTGATTTAACTAAAGCTTACAGTATGCGTGGCAGGGTAAAGTGTGAACATGTATGTGTGTGTGTGTGTGTGTGGTGAGTGTGTGGTGCACGGCTACGCTTACCGCTGTCTGATGCCATCGAGTTTCTCTGGGTCATCAACAAGAACCTGGACGCCGAGGGCCATTTTTGCCTTCTGCAAGTTGAAGTCAAGACAAGCAATCTTCGCATTCTTGATATACTTGGGCATACCTAAATCAACACATGACAGGGAGAAAGAGGGAGAAAGAGGGAGAAAGAGAGAGAAAGAGAGAGACACACACACAGAAAGAGAGAGAGAGAGACAGAGGTAAGCGAGTATGAATCGGATACCAGTAGATCTGATTTTGCCGTGTATGCATGTCTCTAAACATTTCTCAGGCTGCTATATGAGACCTGTTTCCATACAAGAAAGTCGCAATGCGGTATGTCTAAACAAAACCAGGTCCATCTTGAAAATTCAGGTTTATATTTAAATTTTAAAACAGGCTTTTTAATAAATACAACAGTCCGGTAGTTATACTTGTAAGCGCCACATTGATAACAACTCGAAAAAATCTATGTTGAAGAGGAATACAGAGACAGTTGAAGTAGACTGGCATATATGAGCCATATATAGCATCTGCTTGTTTACAACGGTAATGCGCTGAATATTAAACCTACAGTCCGTTTCAAAAAGATTAGCAATCCTGGCGATCGCCCGCGGAGAGTTTGCCGTCTTACCGTATGAGCACTCGGGCCCTGCCTGGAAAAACTCACTGTGAACTCGAAGAAATATTCCGCGCGAAAGCAGGAAAAATGACAATTCACCCACGTTGATACAGTCATGCATATCTGGTTTACAACAAACGAGTTCTTCCTCGCATCGATAATGGAGTCAGAGAGGACATGTCGAAACGAAAGTGTTGTAAATGTTGACGAGCGGCATGGGTCCCAATTCGTTTTGTGACCAAATAGTTTCTTTGAGCTGGAATGCAATTAATATTTACTCACCGTGTGACGAAAACGACATCGACACGGACTCATTCCCAAGGCCATGACTTGGCAAAGCTATCCGTGTGACTTCGATGACATTTTGAGAAAAGCAGACGCCTGTGAACACTGATAGAAGACGGCGTTGACTGCTAAATTCAAATAAATTGGCGATCTTGAAATACTAAAAATAAATCTCAAAAAGCTACAGCGCGATGACTTCCATATTCACTCACACCATTTCAGTATTGTGGGTGTGTTCACATGGCGTGAGCCAGTCAAGTGTCAGTTCGGCAGGAAGCGCGAGCTCCAACAACAAGTCGTTTGGTGCAGCCATCTTCTTTGTCTTGTACCAGCTTGATCACCAAAACAATGAAAACAAGTTTGACTTGAGGATAGGTTGGGATTTGAACTCACAACTTTATGGCCAGCAGACAACATTCATAACCACAAGGCCAAAAAGGAAAGGATAAATCGTGGGGTTTGATAAAAAAAATCGATACTGGCTTCCAGGGCAAATTGTAAACCATGGGAAAAGGCCAGAAACCTGGCCGAAATTGTAACTCCTTAACGGCTGGTCCAATGGTTCCGAAACCTTCACAGAACAATTTGCCATGCCCTAACAAACCCTTCTATGTACTTTGTTGTCCAAATTTCCCTTATCTTCATACTTTTAAGACCAAAACCTGATTGCTAATCTTTTTGAAACGGACTATAAGTGCGTCCTCCCAGAATGATTTCAATTCTCCGGTAAATAAATTATCACAAAAGATGGAAAAGTGAGCAGAATAGCTTTGCAAAGTGAAACAGGAACCCACACACTTACCCTCGCTTGCTACGGTGCAGTTCAGTGCATAGCCCTTGACCAGGACACTCTCGCCACTCGAACCACCATGGGCCTTGAGTACATTGACGGACTTGATCGGGTACTTCTCCTCTCCTTTAGCATTGGTCCTCTTGACAGCTGTAACGGCATCTACCACCATGTTGGCAAAGAAATCTGCATCGCTACACCAGGGAAAACAACAAGTGACAACACCAGGATAGAGATTAATGCGCGTTAATATAACGGGCCAGAATTACGCCTAATAGGGATTTTACGTGATGACGAATAACAACGCCTGGGTCAAATCGGATCCACTCTACCCATAGCTTAGTAGTAAAGTACAGTATATGGCAGGTAGGCCCTTCGTGTCGCACGCAGGAGTGAAATCTGTCTGCACCAGGAGCGACTCCCCAACTGTGTGTGTGTGGGGGGGGGGGGGGGGGGGTCAGTCACTGCCAGCAGATGCGTCACCCTACTGTGAAGGAAACCACCCAAACGTGTATAGATCCACACACAAACTGGATCCAAAAGCCGGCAGTGTCAGGTCTCCGGGCTGGCAGTGGTGTTGCACTTTCAAGCCCTATACAACTACAGTCACATTCACTTCTAACGAACTTGCATGTTGCAAATTTCATGACATAGCAAACCGTTGTCCATGTCCCTGTTCTAACCCACACAAAGTGGACCCTTTGCAGCAAACTCTTTGCAAACCATATCTTGCAGGGGAGCATGTAAACCAGTGCAACTCATGCCGTCACGGGCAGCATGACAGGCACAACATGTTACTTGTACGGTTTGAGTGGATTTCTGCTATAAAGAACTGCGAATAGAATGAACTGATTCCCCTGTACACTGGTACTCATTATAAGTATGAGGAGTGTAATGTAATGTCAAGGAAGAAAAGAAATGTCTATAAGGTGGCTTACGATCCGATAATCTTGGATGCCATTGATGTCTTGGCAGCATTGACAATGCACTCACGACCAAGCTCCTCAACGCCAGTTGTGAGGTGCTCATTGATGTACTTTGTGGCTTCCCTGGAGAGAGGGGGCAGGAAAGAGAGAAAGAGACAAAATACTATCAGCCACACTTACGTTTACATGGTGACACGGTTAACCAGGATGTTGCCGCCTTGCCACAGATGCACAAAAATGATTTATGTTTCCATTGCACACATGCATACAAAAGAGGAAGCTACCTGCACCCGATCAAGCTATCAAGTAATGCTGCAAAATAGCACGATGCAATTAAGTGCACTGTAACTGTGCGCCAAATAAATCTCCACCCTTCTCATGCACACAATAGCAGTGAAACAGATGGCGTACCTTTCACCACCAGTAGTCTTGCAGAGACTTCAACAGCCACAGTTAACAACAAGAACTTCTCACTACGGTCACCGTGCTGAGGAGCGCGGAGAGATTGATCACAGCAGAACACACACACTAGATAAAAAAATAGATATGACTAGTACAGCTATTGCGTACTTTACGGCAACGCGGTATCCACTGATGATGGTTGTCGGGTGAAGCTTGGCCTTTGCAAGCTCATCAGCCAGTTTCAAGAGCTCGGCAGCAATAATAACCTACAGCAGCAAAATATGGACAACAGGCAAACCTTGATCAACATGTACAGTGGGGGGGGGGAGACATAAAGGGTGCCGGGGCAAAGCCCTGCTTGGAACCGGATCAAGTCCACCCAGCATGCCCACAGGCAGCGCGTGACCAAGCACCAGGGACACATGACAACGTTTAGACATGTGTTGGATTCGCTGTGAGTTCAGCTATTTCCCATTCACCCTTGAGGCATCGTACCCGTCGCCTACAGGGGCACGGCAATCCCCTTCCAGTTGTCGAGCCCTCCCCCCTGCAACCAGTTTGACATCGCGCCAGGATTCTTCCCATTTATTTTGACCTGCTGCCCTCGTGGAATGCCGTTCCAGCTAGCCATGGTACCATCCTGAAATGCAGCCTTTTCACGGCCAAGCAATGCTGATGCATGCTCGATGCAAGGTGTACGCTGACCTACAATGTACATCAATCTCAAAGGTTAAAGCAACCGATGTCCATTGATCTTATTTCCTTTAGATGGATACCAGCACAAAGGAGAAATGTGGCAACAATGCTGCAGCATAATGGCAATTTCCATGTTGCCACATTGGTAGTATGTTACAATGCAAACAAGTCTCACACAGAGCCAAGCTGAATCTTCTACCCTCGAAGAACAATGTAGCGCAGAACGCATACCTGCTAAAGGCCTTCACCGCAATTGTCAGTACAGACACTAGTGCAGCTAGAAACCTCTAAAAGGAAATAAAATGGATCGGTCTACCACGGCCCGTCTATTGGCGCACCCTTCAAGGAAGCAGTAAACCCGAAGAAAAAGCCGGCGTGCATTTAACCCTCAAGAGATAACAATTATGCTGACAGATATTGCTACACTAGGGTTGATCCACAACCATCACTTTTCCCGAAACAAGACTTCCGTAACTATTCGTGTCCGGGCAGGGGTAGGTACATCCACTATACATTGGCCACGCCTTCATTTGCCTTACACAGCACTACCATAGTAAGCATAGGGTGGGCAAGCTCCACGCTTGCCTGTAAAATATTGAAGCGGTATGATACACATCATTGTATTATCTAGAGTATAAGCCGCACTTTGAACACCCAAAATTAACCCAAAAAAGGGGGAGGGTGCGGCGTATACTCCGATGATCAAATTAACGGCGATAAATAGGATAGATATCTGTATTTAATATTCATGAGTTGAGGGAATGGAGAAGGGAAAAGTCTGAAGAAAAATTGACTGTCACCACTAGGAATCGAACTAGGGACCTTCGCTTGAGGCCAGCGATGCTCTGACCACTGAGCTATGGTGTAGCTGTCATCCCAGCAGAGACCGCTAACACCTTCTTCAGACTTCGACACTCATGCTTCCTGTGACCCTACACAGGCTGGTGAGACGCAGCCCTCACTGTACCCCATGTAGTATGCAGGGATCCCCAATGTATCAAATATTCATACGCTGTACTTCGCGGCAAAAAATGGTTGGTGCGGCTTTTACTCTGGAAAATACGGTACTCATAAGTCTGAGGGACAGGAAACGGTCTGAAAAAATTGACTGTCACCACCAGGACTTGAACAAGGGATCCATTTGCTAAAGGCCGGCAATGCTCTAACCACCGACCTATAGTGTAGCTCTCATCCAAGCAGCGGCTATTCAACAGGTACGATAAACGATCAGCGATCATACATGCAACATGCTAGCATGCATATATTCGGACGAGTGTCCGCAGAAGCGCGACAAAGCTTCGATAATTATGGATGAGCACTATCACCAAGCCAGAAACGACATGCATGACTTACAACTGAGGTCGTGCCATCTCCAACTTCCTGGTCTTGCAGCTCAGCTAACTCACAAAGAATTTTACCAGCGGGGTGTTCAACTTCCAGGAGTTTCAAGATTGTAGCTCCGTCGTTAGTTATGGTAACATCCTAGCAGCAAGGAGGAAGACGCAAGGCAGTTAAAACCAAAATTGGTCATGTCCGAGGGGATGCCTACATCAATTTCATTTTTAGTAAGCTATCCACAATTAGTGTGTGTGTTTCGAACATTCCAGTGATGCTAACGCGGATCCCGCGATTATATGATTATAATATACCCACAATTACTCCAATTACCCCTGGTGCATGTGCTTGCTTCACAGAAAATGAGACCACCATCGAATCTCAAAGACCTCATTTATTCAGTCCTCTTGAAGGGTATTTCCCTACGCAGCTACCAGTCTCATCTGACTTGCTCACAGAAATATTTCGACCCAAGAAGAACCAGAATCAGATTGGGCGGGGGTAGTTTTCACTTTTTAGCTTGCGCCCATGGAGCTAACTGGCATACTTGGAGTGGTTGGGGCAAGAGGCACCCAGAAACACACGCATCTTCCGTGCAGAGAGGAAGGACTGGTGTGGAAAGCAATACCTGGCATGATGGAGTAGGCAACCACAATAACTGCACCAATACCAGAGATGTGCGAGGATGCGGTTCTTCTAAGTAGAGTCAGATGTAGCAGCTTCAATTCCTAGTACCAGAATTAGCACAATGAACTCGCGCTATACTTCATTGCGCTAAAACCTTCCTTGCTGAACTACTGGCTGTCATTCCTGCAATAAAATTCCTGGCGTGATTATGGCTGGCGCTAAAATGGCTCTTGCTGAAACGGTTGCACTGAAATGGCGAGGCAACAAGATGACTGCCATCAGCAAGAAATCATGTAATTCTCATACCGGGGTGGAATGGTTAGTCTGGTTAATTAATCTGTTGCACGAGGGCTTAAAATAAAAACAATGATGAACAGCAGTATTATGGTCTATAGGTACAGACGAAAAGTGAAATATAAAAAAAATACAGCAAAGGACGATAATCAACCTGTCTTGTTTTCGGTTTAGCCATTTATACATGTAGTTTTCATTAATTAATTTTTATAATCAGCTGATTGAGTAATTTTACAATCATACAAATTCGCATAGATAACACGCAGTAGTGTTACAAAGCCATAACACAATTTTTGGAGCAGACATAGTCGATTATCCACGAAGTCAGGCACTTGAAAAACAATTCCGAAGGAGGATAAAACCCAGAACAAATATTGGCATGCGTGCGTGCGTGCTTACTTTCCATAAAAAAATTCAAAAGTGCAAGAGCCAATTGACTCCTACGCTTGCACGAAATACATCCAGAACAGTACTGCTTACCCCGATATCATCAACCAGCATTTTATCCAAACCGACAGGACCCAAGGAGCTACGGACTATGTTGGCAATTGCTGCTGCAGCCATCACTGAGCACATAAAAGGGCAATCGATACCACTCACTAACGTACAGCCATCCAACATCCATCCTAAACATAAAGTTATGTACCATTTTGAGTTCGCACACTCTGCCCAGAGGTACGCTCGCCTCCTACAAGAAGGCGAGACGCTGTCGACATTTTGGAATTTCAAGAATGCTTTTCAGCCTTCTTCTCAAGAACAGAAATTTCAATCGAATACTTTGCCAAGACAAAAATCGAAGGCTTGGCCGCGGTGGCCGTGGCGCCTACCCGGTCGGGACCGTACCGTGCATGCACCTCGCGCCCTGGCCGCTCGTACTAATCTGTCAGTATGCGCAGTAGTCGTAGCGCAGGTGCTGTGTGCAGTACACCAGGTACACTAGGGAGGTTCTGCTCTACGTGTTGGGAACGCGACGCAAAGAATCACGCGAACTTTCTTCGCGTTCCCGTAACGTAAAGAAATGCTGTTCTGCTCTACGTTTCACCTAGAGAAGTCACGTGGAATGTGTACTGGGAATTTCCCCTTCCATATTTGGCAGTTTTCTGCATGCAGTTGATCGATACCCAGCAAATCCGTACGAATTTTCTCTGCGTGTGCCACAACGTAGAGAACCTCATCTCCGCGTAGAAATCTGGAGCCAAAACACGCGAAGCCGTAGACTCTAACCCAGACACCTGCTCTCTACGTGATTTCTCTACGTTTCACGTATAGCAGAACCTCCCTAGCCCTCCTGTCTGTACCAGGGAGTCGTATAGACCCGGGAGGCGACACGCGCATCACTTGTGCACAACCATGATCGACTCAACGATTCAAAATATTAGTACGACCTGCTCGGTGTGGGACAAGTCCGTACATAGGTCATACCAAGAGTAGATAAACAAGAGTGTGCAACTCCGGATCTCTCCTGCACAATCTGCAGATACCCCGCGCCCACGGCGGAATTTTTTGTTTACGTCACCTTTTTTCAGAGAAACGCGGCTTTGCCGCACAGTCGATGCGCCAGAGCGAAAAAAAGCCCTTTTTTATTATCCCGGTCAGCTCATTTTGTACAGAGGTGAAGATGACGATTCCGTGAAGAAGTAATGGCTGACGTTGTCGAACATTCAGACCCACTGGAGGCGTTCCACAGCCTGGAGCCCGCCGATAAGGAATTCGATGTGACTTGAGTAAGTACTAAAGTAATCCGTACTATTTTTGGGGCCAGCTATTGAGCCATTGGGAAGTTTCGTGTCGTCGTTTTCTTACAGTACAGTCGTAGAAATTTCCTCCCTTCTTTGGTATTCAGCCAGTAATGGACTCCATCAAATCTTACACAATATCCGAGATAGCAGAAAGATAGTCCCAACCAACCTGTGTAAAGATCTGGTCATGTCTATGTCCAGACCTACTGCTAACTCAAATGGCACGAAATGAAAGAATTTTTTTGTGATACGTGTAAAATCCACGAAAGTGACATTTCATCACACCTAAGTTTCAAAATATCCCAGGTTACAATAGTTTCTCGCCCATATAGCAGCAGATGGATTGTGTTCCCGGTATATCACCATTTCCAGTGGAAGTATTGTGTTCCACGTCTATCCATGCTCATTGAAACTCAGGCAGATGTGTATATTTGTGTATTTCAGGTCAGCATTCGTAGTGCATTCCATGTTTCTAGCATATTATGCCATAATTCCAGTAAACGATAACACGCACGCATCACCTGTGTGCACATTGACTCAATCTTGGTCCAATTCGTTGCTGGTTTCTTGCTTTTCAGTCTCCTCAAATGAAACAACCTTTTGCTTACTGGAACTGTCGCATTCTTCCCTCGCGGAGGTGTTGTTGAACAGAAAGTGTGGCATTTTAGCCCTGGCCTGCATAACAGATTTGCCTTTTGCACTTGCATTGTATGATCCTGCAGTGGACTTGCATCCACAGCCTTTTGTCAGGCCTGTGACAGGCTGTCTGACTGCTGCAAGATGTTTGTCAGAGCCCCACACCATGACTAGGTCATTGGTTCTTCACAATCCCTACCTTGAAGAGGTGAGTAGTTGATAGTAGATTTTGTTGCTTAAATTAAGCGATAATCAGAGACAACAATTATTCCAGTGTAGCTCAATTCCACTTGTAAGTTTTACGGCACCGCCATCCATGGACTCTTGGTACTACTCCATACTGAAGTTTCACTGTGTGTGGAACCCGCCTGTCTGTGTTAGTGTTTTGCTTTGACGTCGCTTCGTCTCAGTTTCTTCCTCAGTGCTTGTTGTGATTGGCATGTGGCGGGCAAATGGCCATGGAACTTCAACTGTGGTACTTGCATCAATTGGGCTAGTGTGACCAGTGGATGGTAGTTGATTTACATGTTGGACTGGTGTGCCACGTAGCCTTCTGCTGGCATCCTGGCACTACATTTGTTGCCAGGGTACCTCTTTGTCGATTTTGTCCACAGACACCACGCTCACACTCGGCATGTATACATGGAGCTGCAGGTCTTGAATGCCCTTCCCTTTTGCTATGTTCACCATTGTCATTCTGTATGTATTGTAGGTATTATGGCCAGCCGTTACTCCCCGTTGAGAAAAGATCCCTGCAAGCGTACTTGACTGGCTGTATGCGTCTAATACGTCTGCAAGCACCAACTGAAGTGGGTGAGTGCGAACTGGATGACTTACTGTAATGTCGTGTATGAAAGCCTGGCCTGGCGTATTTCTGTAGAAGCCGGTGTGGTGGCTAGGCCTCTATTTACATTATGTTGCATTATGTTTGTAGTCAAACCAAACTTTTTATGGTTGCCGATGCAAAATCCACATTATTGTGCTAGTTGCATATCTTGAAACTCAGGCTTGTGTTCAGAACAGGCTTCTGCATAAGACAGGCTTTTATAGAAAGCAGTGGAGTAAGTGAAGGACTGTTCCTACTTCTTGTAGACACCACAGGTACTACAGGTATGTGTGTGAAGCTTCACTCCAGGGGAGAAAACGAGAGCGAGGTGGAATTGTGACCATCCAGTATTGTCCACCCTCATGACCATAGTTTGGGTTGGATAGTCCTGTCCCCAGAGAAAATCGCGGAAAAATCCCAGAGTTTGCGGTGTAACTTGAAGGTAAATATGGCATAATTTGCGGTGAATTTGCGGTAAGTATGCGGTGAATATTATTGATATCAAGAGTACATAACCCCAAGAGTGTGCAACTGCCTGCACAACCTCTATGCTGTGCTGCGACGGCAGAACTTCACATCACGTGACATGGTTCAAAAGGTTATGCTGGCATAGCCTGGCAAACAGTGCAAAGTGACCACAAGAGAGTTGTACCCAAAGCTGGGCTGCGTACAACCCAGTATCTATCATCAAGAGTCCATAACCCAAGAGTATGCAACTGTGATCTCTTTTCTATGGGCCAACCGCGCGGCGCGTTGCCTTCATTACATCATTCAGCTGCAGTCCGCGCACTGCGGAAAATCAAACACCGCACTTTCCCCCTAGTTTGAAATGAACTTTCGTACGGAACTGGAGTTCACGCGCCAGAATTCAGAGATTGTGTGGGTACTGGAACGAATCGAGCAAAAACGGATGGGCTCGTGCGAGAAATTGAGAGTTTGAATGCATGCTTTCAGAGCGTGATGAAGGCAAGTTACGTAATGAAGGCAGCGCGCCACGCATGCACCCATAATCACAGTTGCATACTCTTGGGTTATGGACTCTTGCTATCATGCACTAGAGTGCACGGGTTCATCATGTGATGTGAAGTTCTGCCGTCGCAGACCCCATAGCTGGAGTTGCACACTCTTGGGGTTATGTACTCTTGTTGATATGCGGCAATTTTACCGGGGAGCCGGTCATGTGCCATGTGTATGCTAGGGAGCGCGCGCCCTACACGTAGACTCTCTACTTGACGTCAACGGCTCACAACGGTCAGCCGAACAGTGCACTGTGTGTACGTGTAGCGCAACAAAAAAGTTCAAAAAACGCGGGAAAATCGCAGAAAACGCGGTCTTTTAAAAAATCGCAAAAAACGCGGCCGCGGAATCGCGATTTTCCCCGGGAACAGATAGTCTGACAAACAGACGATAAGTCCTTTATTCTTAGTTTCTCGGTACTCTCCTCCACTGTACATTGGCCTGCTGTAGGTCGATTTGGTGGATAACTTTGACAGCTGTGTCCAAGGACTTGCCCTTTATTACATCGTGTTTTGGGGTTGCATTCGTCCTCCAGGGTTGTGTGTAGGCACCTGGACAGAGCCCGGTGCAGAGCTTGGGTGGTACCCAACTGGCTCACATGAGCATGATGCCACCTTTCTTAGCTTTGGGGTATGCAGTAGGAATGTGTGCCACTAGTCCCTCCTGCATCAGGGACAGTAGAGTTGGTAATGCTTGTAGCGGGAATGTTATGTGTCGGGTATTCGTCAAAGTAATACTATATTTATGCCATTTTAGCAAATAATGTTGCTCCATTGTGTAACAGTTTGTCTGCTACTTATTATACTCCGTCAAGCATTTCATCTTCTGCATGGTATTGTACTGCTTTGTCTGGTTTATTGCTGTCAGGTGCTGCACGTAATCATTACCCACAGCAGTGGTGTCGGTCAGTGGTGTAACTACCTTCCTCAACAATCACCAGCTGCTGGCTTGTGACAGTTTTGACGAAAATTAGTCGGTCTCTCTCATTCCGTTATCCCTTTGTCGACTCTGAGGAGATGCTCGACAACCACATAATTTGGTACTTCCTGTACAGCCTAGTATTTGCAGTATTTGCTTCCTACACCAGCCACAGTGCTTTTCTTCCCACGTTCTTTTTTCCGCTGGACGGTTTGGGATTATCTTTTGTGTTACGTTCTTTCGTTTTCTGTTACATCCTTTTCCTGTTCTTGTGTGTTAACGTTTCAGTGGAATGGTGCAATGCATTTCCAACCAATGCAGTCATTCTGGTCTAAATTGGATTGAACTGTACAGGTTTCCAATGTGTATGGCATATTACTGATGTATTCTCAGTCATATTGAGGACACATGGGTGGGTAAACCGCTTACAGGGCGGTTCTCATCGGCAGCAGCAGGTACACTGGGACCCACGTGGAGATTGTGGGTGGTGTCCAACTAAAGCTTTCGTGCTTTGGCCTATGCCAAGGGCATGATACGTACCCTGTGCATGGAAAGACGACGAAAATCAGCAGCTTTGCAAATGCACCTCTACAGCCTGTTTCCGCAGTGACACACATTGTGGCTGTTTTTGATCCGTTAGTACACTATGTTTGCTGCCGCAGACA